CAACCACCCGATCCCGATAGTCGCTTCTTACTCACATCTTTGTAATTTACTTGCGTATATTTCAGGTATTGAAATTGCGTGGCATACCTACTTCGTAAGCTAACGTAAATTGGAACGCATTGAGAAAAAAAACAAGTCCTGAAAGGTTAAGTTCTGCACCACACGTCATCATTATGACGTCACACTGAATAGCGGCACATGTCAAGGTCACTGATGTCCCCAATACTCGAGCATCCTGCATACATTGAATATTGAGGTAACCGATACTCTACTTTTGTAACCTATAATTATACATATCATTATTTCAAAATGCCTACCTACAATGATTGAATATGTTTTTTTCTTATAAATATTAGCTTCCTCGCGGTTGTGCAAAGAGCGATTTGTGATTTTTTTTTTTTTATATATATTTATGTATTATATGATTAACTCGATTACTTTCCAAATTCATAGTAGAATATCAAAATAGCTTTGAAGTCGTCATGACCCTTGGTATATCACTGACCTTTAGGTATGATAAAGATAGGTGTAACTTTGCGCTGATTTTCAGAAATTGTGACTACCAACTCAAGACATTGGTTGAGGGCTACAATGACATCAATTTAACTATTAAGAGAGAATATATGTCAGTATCGAACCAAGATTAGAACAAGAATTGCTTATTCCTTACTGCAGTGCAAAGCAGAGGTCAGGTATTGGAGTGTTGACTCACCGTGTGGACACCCTCTATTGTCAGTTGATCTGTACCCAGTCCTGCAGTGGTATGTTTTAAACGACACTTTCCTGTAATGTAGGTATTATTACAGACAGACAAATTCATTTATTTCGTATATGAGGTCAATAGTGCAATGACATTTTGTTGTTGGACAATTTGTCGTGGAGCACTATTTGGTTATTGTAATGCAAATAGATTAACATATTTGGAATTTTATTAATATTCATGACAATGTATCATCTTCTCCGAAATATCTCAATGACAAAACTGCAAGTCTGAGAACAATGTGGCAATCTGAGAAAAAAATCCTTTTCCGCATCACCAAAGCCTAAATATGTAGTGTTACTGTAGTACGGTAACATTCATATACACATCAATTACACTACCTGTATCTGCCGCAACGGCCCCAGCCAAATAATCAACAACTTGATGTGTATCTCGTCTTGAAATACGTCATTCTTGTATCCACGTTAATGCCAAAGATACCGTAATGAATAAAGCAACGTCACGTCAATATACATGTTGACTATGTAATACGTGTACAGATAACCACAATTGTATAGAGACGTATATTATGTACTATTTATGATTAAGTAATGCGTGTACAAACTGTAACTATTACATAGATGTGCTGACTGTGTGAGAGGTGTCCGTACATAAACACGACCGCAACGAATACGCGAATGACGTTAATCAACAAGGACTACATACAAACATAAATTGTGTGAGCCGTGTGGCACCAATCTCTCAGATGCATATATATCCACAACAGTGTGTGTCATTCATTTGTTTACAATAAAAATATATTTTAGCCTAAGCGAACTGATACGCGGAAAATATCTACTAAAGCATTTTCTTGAAGTCCTGTGCTAAAACCAAATGTCAGTAGTAAAAAACAGCCACAGACGACGAAGCTATCCCCATACATTTTATCTACTGTCATGGCAGAGCATACCTAAAACTACATATCCATGTCACGAGTTGCATGCAGGCAACAAGTACTGAGGCGGACCAGGAAGTATATTTAGACACACATGTACAGCTTCATGGTTAGTGATTACATTGTCCTTTCATATGTGACGTACAATGCTTTTAAGGGCGTGTTGTACACAACGAACGTAAAACAAGTCATCTTGTCTCAAACTGTTGCTGCACATTGCTGTTCAACAAGTAGCATGGAGAATGAGATTTACATTTCATGTTGGCTTAAATCTTGACTTGATTATAATTAGGGAAATATCTCCCGGTATTTACCTTGGTCTCACAGAAGATGGATGATTGCAAGCTCCGTTTGTGAGAGAACTAGTGTCGTAAAGAATGTTGTGAGAAGAAGTAATAATGATGTCACTTTGTCCTGATGCTTATAGTTGTTTCAACGCTTGTATAAGTAATTTTGGGAACGGTCTAGGGGAGATAATCCCATTGCTTTATACCGATGATGGAAGTACTGATGATAGTTGCTTCCCTTGGGGAAGAATGGCTAATGGCGTCGAACAATGAAGTTCGTCTTGATTCGTCTCGTGGTACTGGTGATAATTAGGTCGTTAGTATGGACACAATATGAACACCCCAATAGTTAAATGAGATGTATTTCACGGACTTCAGTGGCCTTGCTCCAGTCTATGACTTACGTAATACATATATGTTAATGGTTTTACGGCTGGAACTTAGTCAACTTCGCACATCTACTTCGTGCTGGTTGAATACATTGATCTGTCGGCATAAATAGTATATATCCATCGCTCCTGTTGAAGGAGCTCTATGAATATTAACGAGTTTCGAGTTAAGGAGCCTTGAATAGGCAATCTCATGCATGATGTCACAGGTCAAGACTGTAAGGAATGTGGCCTTTGTTCATATATCGTAGCCGTGGAATTCATTAGGAGTGCCATTGAACCTTTTGGAACGCAGTCGGGGTGGATTCTTTAGTCCGGATATAAAACCGAGAATGATCATCATTAAATGGAATTTCACCATTTCATGAAAGAATGAATGCCGAGCCCCAGGCCCGGTTGGGCAACAAGTAAAATCTTTAATGATTTTTTGGTATGACATGATCCGGTCGGTCTCCAGGGTAAAGCTGTATCAGCTAGACCACGGTGGCGGAAGTCCTAGTTCAATACATGAACTGGTGCCTTTTTAGTATTTTACAATGCTTTAAAATGTAATCTTTTTCAAGTACTGTTTAGGAATTTCGAAGAAAAAAATTCGATTTTCATTACGACAAACTTAGTTGTAAATTAACGTAGAATGATAGTATTTATGTCATTTAGTTTGAATGCAGGAACCGATGCTCTTTCAAACCGGAAGTGACAACGTCCAAATCGGAAGTACCTGGTACCAAGAACCATGGGTCTCTCTGGTTTACACTCTAATACAGCCTGAATGTGTTTTCCGAGACCGATAGTGATATGATCCTTCCACGACGTACTGACAACATTCTTGAAAGGTAGCTTGAAAGTTAAGACTTTCTCGTTGTAATATTTACTAAGAAACGGAGACCTTTCAGTGTGTCAGTGTTTTAATATGTGTGTGTGTTAGTTTGGTAATGTGTCAGTTTGTTGTGTGGTAAAGTGTTAGTATGTTAATATGTTAGTGTGGTAATGTGTTAGTGTGTTAATATGTTAGTGTGGTAATGCGTTAGTGTGTTAGTGTGTTAGTGTGGTAATGTGTTGTGCATTAGTGTGGTAATGTTTAAGTGTGTTATAGTGGTAATGTGTTAGTGTGGTAATGCGTAAGTGCGTTAGTGTGATAATGTGTTAGTGTGTTGTGTGATATTGTGGTGATGTGTTAGTGTGTTGTATAGTGGTGTGTTAATGTGTGAGTGTGTTGTGTGATATTGTGGTGATGTGTTAGTGTGTTGTATAGTGGTGTGTTAATGTGTGAGTGTGTTGTGTGATATTGTGGTGATGTGTTAGTGTGTTGTATAGTGGTGTGTTAATGTGTTAGTGTGTTGTGTGATATTGTGGTGATGTGTTAGTGTGTTGTGTGATATTGTGGTAATGCAGAAGTGTGTTAGTGTGGTAATGTGTTAGTGTGTTGTGTGATATTGTGGTGATGTGTTAGTGTGTTGTATAGTGGTGTGTTAATGTGTTAGTGTGTTGTATAGTGGTTAGTTAATGTGTGAGTGTGTTGTATAGTGGTGTGTTAATGTGTTAGTGTGTTGTATAGTGGTGTGTTAATGTGTGAGTGTGTTGTATAGTGGTGTGTTAATGTGTTATTGTGTTGTATAGTGGTTTGTTAATGTGTGAGTGTGTTGTATAGTGGTGTGTTAATGTGTTAGTGTGTTGTATAGTGGTGGGTTAATGTGTGAGTGTGTTGTATAGTGGTGTGTTAATGTGTGAGTGTGTTGTATAGTGGTGTGTTAATGTGTGAGTGTGTTGTATAGTGGTGTGTTAATGTGTGAGTGTGTTGTATAGTGGTGTGTTAATGTGTTAGTGTGTTGTATAGTGGTGTGTTAATGTGTGAGTGTGTTAGTAGTGAGGTAGAGTAGTAATGACATGTGCTGTTTTAATGTTGAATGTTGATAAATGCACAAAATATGGAAATGTTAATGAAATACTTTGTCTGGTGGAATCTTGTTTGATTTGATACCTTTGATTGACTAATAAGTGTGCAGTATTTTTAAAAGACCACCTCATGTCATCATAGGATAAACATATCATCTATGATACTTACATGAAACTACACACAACAACATATAAAGTTCATAACATACAAACATATCTTTGTCATTATAACACGAATGTTGGCACGTTAGGTATGTATCGGAACACGTGTCTCATATTTGCTCACACGACTAGTTCATGATGAATCTCGCACACTGATGTTGATTTGTCTGCTCGCTTATGCACACGTTTGGTGTAATATTCTTGGTCGGTAAAGATAACACCAAATTGACAGCCTGTGACATACATGTACTACATGGACATGGTCTCCGTGGTCTAGTTGATAGAGCGTCTGCAAAGAGAGCGGAAGATCGGGAATCCGGAATTCGATCACACTCACTCACTCACGTACAGGTACGTCGCATTTTGAGTGCAATAATCTTGAATACGACTTTAAACCCCATTTCACCCAACCTCGAAAGAACAACAATGTGCCAGGAGAGCACATAGCGGTAGCGGTGCCCCGGCCCTATCCCAGGCTTACCCTACACTGTACGTACAGGTGGGCCAAGGCTGAGACCCTCTGTTCTCTCGTCTCCGGACAAAGGGTGACAGAGCCAATGTCATGACAAGGATCTAGTATTGGATATACAAAATGGCAGTGTGTTACAGTGCAGTTTATTTTCACAAAAGCACCCAAAAACGGTTGTACAAGAGTATATATACAACACAAATAGTTATTCAATATAGATAATAATGGAAACATACTAAAGTGATTTAGACACATTTACGTAATAATGTACAGTGAATCTGGACACAAAAGTTTAGGTGAACAGATCTTGGTAATTCACACATAGTAGGCAAGATATAAGAGCGCCCTGGGAATGATTTGTGAATAATGATTTGATATGTGAAATTATGGAATTGGTAATACACAGTATTTCGGAAGTAATAGAACATTTTCAAATTTTGGAAACATTTTAAAATGTTGGTAATATATACCTTTGGAACTCCATAGAATATTTTCCCGCTACTTGTGAATAAATTGATCTTTAAGAATTCGTTCGACCTTTGAAACAAACCATGACGTTGAGCAAGTAGATGGGTAGATGAATACTTCTGTCAATCCGACGTTATTACCAATAACACATAATGTTGTAGTTGCACAGCTCGTTTATGGTAGCTGTATAATACAACGTAGATTACCACTGCATCTGGGTGAACTTCAAGTCGACTTAGTAATTCTATTTTATTTGACTTCTGTATTGTTTGTTACGCCTTTTCTAGGCAACCCCTTGCCCTTCCATTAAGTGAATACTGTACTGAATATGTCTATGTCCAGTTAATATAAACACAGTGCGTGTGCGTGTGCGTGTGCGTGTGCGCAAGTGTGTGTTTTCATATATAAAAAAGGTCAAGATGACGATAAAACCAACTGGATTAAGGAGAGGGAGGTGAAGTCAGCTGTGGGGAAATACAGCTATTGGAATGGATGTGATAACAAAGACATGGCTCGTGTAAACAATATGACACTAAAACAGAGAAAGAATATCGCGATATGATTATACCATTAAAAACAACTGGCTATTAATATTTTGGTTAACAGATATTAAAAATACTAACGAGCCGGTGCACGGAGCTATACTGAAAATCCTTAAGGTGACAAATACCAAAAAATCTCTATTTAACACAAGTTTAACAAGTTTAGTTTGAAAACGTATATATATAATTAGGGTATTCTACATTTGCATTTCAAAGTCTCTGGTTCTCCATTAATAATTATGCAATCTCAAAGTGATAAAAACGTCATATTATATCATATGACCATATCAACATATATTAATCGCCTTACGTTCAATGGGCGCGCAGTTCCAACAATAATCAGCAAGTTGTGAAGGTTAATGTGATTCATTATTGTGAATGTCGACGTCGATGCACAATTGTAGAAGGGGTGGGCAGGTAGCAGAAAATATTGTTTGTTTTGAAAAGCCGTTTCATTGTCGAGAATACGACTATTGTGTGTCAAATTATGTGTAATACCTGGTTCGTAATTTTGAGCATTTTCCAAAAGTGCATTTCCCAGTAAACTCACTCCATTGATATATTCGTTGTGGAGCAGTTGCTGTATCGCAGGACCAGAAAAATGGAGATCTAACAAAAAAGAAAAATACAAACACCTTGAAAGAAATGCTTCCCTTCTTCGAATACCGACAAAATACAGATGACCACGTTTACGAAAACGAATATTCTTGGCACTTTTGTCCAGTGCGCGATGATTCCAGTGAATCAATGTATTTACAGTAATCCTTGTTATTTTTGTCTAGAGATGCTGTAATTTAGGACTGTCGGGAAATGAGAGACTAAGCAAAACAGATCGCTATATTTTTGCTGAGGGTTTGCATCTTGGGTGAATCAGTTGGATGTTTTCTTTCCAGGGGATATGATTTTATCTGTATCCATCCGATACATGTATTTTAATGGCACTCGACATAACATTGTTATTTAAAGTTGCCAGACTAATATTTCTCTATTTGTTTCTTGTAAGCCTCAGCCGTATCCAGGTAAATGTACATGTATTTGACCGCTGTGTGACAATGTTCGAATCTGCTCTAGACAATCCAGTGATTGACATAATGAGAAGAGATCCACGTCGTCGGGTTACAGTGACACACAATGAACAAGCCTGGGCACCCGATTAATTGAGTCGCGCCCAATACAATCATAGGTTGCTTGGAACTTTTTTAAACCATGGTATCCCCACGCTTGTTTAACAGAGGTTTGTATATGTTTTCTTAACAAAGATTATGATTGAGAGTGATGTTTGTGTGGCAGTACATTCTGTGTTCAGACGTCTTCGTATATGTCATTTCATGTACTGTTGAACGTCACGCGTGGTGTAAACCTCGACGTACCGCCACAGTTTACATATATAGGACTTTCAATGGGTTCATATATGCTTGTTTCACCCGACCCACGAATCTGTATAGAACCATATGCTTCTTCATCAGGGCCTGCGTTGAAGTCAAGCGTGTCATACGTCCTGCAGCTGGCTTCAGGTTGACTTCTGTTGGCCCGAGGTTTTATCTGTTTAGGTTTAACACGTGTTGGTAGCCTTATGTTGTAGTACACAGTTTGGTCAGTCTTCTCCGGTTGACGTCTGTAATACATAAACATCAATACGTACAGGTTAGCGCACGAGGACATAGTGTCTAATTGTTTAACTGGCTAGTTAACTAACCATTTCAACGATTAGAAACCAAGGTCCGGGTGAACCTATTTAAACCATGGCCAACATTCAAAACACCTTAGCACCTAAACTGTTATAACAATTGTGTTTTGTTTTATATATTATTTATAAAGACATTCAAGAACTCAATGTTCAACTGTGAAAATACTGTATGAGTCGGCCCTGTGTGATGCCCGTCAACAATGTTCCCTGAGCCGTTCGCACGTGCACCTCACTCTTTGGCGACTGTGGTTATGAATGCACTTACCGGGGCAAGAATACAATATATATTGGCCAAACTGGAGCACATTTATCAGTCACCTATATATGACTTGCCCATGTTGATGGGCGTATTATGAGCAAACATAGCCCTGATCAAGATAAGTGTTTTTCATTATTCTCTGTTTGTTTCTATGGACGAAAAACGACATCACACATGCGTACAGTGGAAAGAATAACATAAAACGTACGGCACAAGACATGGATTTCACCGTTCATAAACAGATGAAAGTCCCGCTGGAGAAACACCTTTTCTTGAAATTGTTCTATTGTCAAGGGAAACTAAAGGGGAAAAACAGCTCCCTCGTTGCCAAGTGGTGTTTAACTGAGAACTGAATTAGTTAATGTGCGGCCAAGGACAAAGGAGTGATGGTAAAATGTACATTAAAGTATAGTGTAAAGATCCCTGTACTTGGTTGAAACAATATGTCAAATCATTGTACATGTTGAGATGGCTACAGGTTACAATTGTATCTGAATTGTCTCATTTATTAAACTGATTTCGGAATATACATAATTATAACTTTTAGGTCAGGTCTTATTGGATTTGCGGTAGAAGATGGTTGACAGCTGCTGTTCTTTTAAGACTATGACCGAAATGTAAAACAAAAAATTTAAGATGAATATATCTCTTTGTCTTTTTTATATTCTTTACAAGCGATTTCTTCCAGGTCATTCCTGTAATCATGCATACAACAACCATGTTTACAAATTTAAAACATTATTATCACCTGAAAACGCCAATTTGACAAAAAGATAATCGCAGCATATCGGATCGTGATAAGACTTAGTGTATCTTATATTATTGGTTGATAAAGTTGATATTAATATCCATTATATGTTAAGTAGAATTGCATTTCAGGAGAACAGATGACCTTTGTTTCCTCTTCCAGACAACAACTCCAATGATGATGGCAGCACCTGCAACCACGGCGGACACAGTCCCCGACACTATCGGTACAAGGGTTTTTCCGACCACTGGATTAGCTGAAGGAAAATGCACTGACGTTAGAATCCATTGACGTGGTATTTCAGGAGCATTATGACATAGTATTCTCATAACGAATTTATGTAGTCAATATCATGCCCAATTACCAATAGTTACTGTCTGATAAATGATTGGGAGTACATTTCTGATGGTATCTTTGATTTGGTAGGAATTAAATATGTTTTCGGCAAAATGCATCTGACCCCTTAATTTTGACCATTATGTGGGGTGAGATTAACACTACTAATAGAAGATGGTGTACCCATATTTGTAAACTGTACTACCACTGGATCTTAAATACATTGTTCCTGTGTGAGGGATCCGGAAGCTGACATTTATATTCATAGTTGTATTTTTGTATTTCAAAGATTACACGGAACTGAACGGAAAGTCTTCAGTAGGGACACTGACGTTAGATATGAACCTTTATCATAGCTAACAGTGACATTTTAGCACGTCTGTTAAAATATTTGTAGTAAAACAGTCGACTTTTTCTATGAACAATCAAGCAATATTATGATTAATACTTTTCAAGGTTCCCATCTGGTTTAAACTTTTTCCCCGTTGACCCTACATGGACACTGTAGCTTGTTAAAGCCTCCTTTTGAATATCAATTCATAGTTCCAAACATACCTACATATCTACAAACGCTTTGAATGAGCATCTTTATTCTAGTGAATGTGACCTTTGATCTTCTCGTGACATCCTTCCCGAAAGTATTTATCATTCGCTCAAAGTTTCCACTCTCTTCATAATGTGCCTTCCAAAAGTACTTCATTTCATTGGGTTAAGATTATGAGTAAATTATTGATTTTGTACACATTCAACTTAATACACGTCTTATGGATGCAGACATCTATGTTGAGTTAAACTGTATATGGTGCCACAGATTCTGAGACACTGAAAGGTGAATGTACCTCATGATGCATTCAACAATCGTGAATGTACGAAAGTCCATTATCACTTACACAAAAGTTATTTAAGCCTTTTTAAGCTTTGTTCGTCTTGCGGATAAACTGTTTACACACTTGCGGCCAAATTGAAAACCGGGTTTGAACTTCGAAAGGAAATCTGAATGCTCACAATAATAACAGAAGTCTTGACAACAGGGAATTGAAAAATAGACTGAAGAGAGATCAGGTCTTAAGTACTTTCGGATTTACTGGGTTTACTGAGGACGTGAGTGGATTTGCACGTCTCTAAATTAGTACTTACTGAAAAATGAAATGAACGTTTTTACAACAAGGAATAAGAAAATAGACCGCAGAGACACCAGGTCTGATGTACCTTTACACGTCTCAACTCCATCAGAACAAACGGCATCGCTTCTCTGCTGAGGTCCATTATAAGCAACAACAGTTACATAAAACTTTCCACAAGAAGGTGCTGTCCATGTGACTTCGGTCGAGTGTGTTGATTCCATCTGCCGTAAGAAGAATAGCACCACAGTAATTCCTGCTCTGTGTCCTCAAAGCTGACATGTGAATGCAAAACTGTGTATTATCATTAGAATATATGTACTGTACTGAAGGAGATGTATTCTGAAGAACGATTTCCCGAAATTACTTAGAATTCTTTATATGATAATGCTATTTATATAGTTACCATTGTTACAATGAAACAATAAAGGACTAACGTTTTTGGTTTTATTTAGGTCAAACAGGTCTCCTTGTAAACATCTGGGACCGAAGGTGTACTGATAAAAGGCGATTGCGCTCTCGTTGTCAAAGAACCCGTCCCAGTGGGCATTGAGTTGTAGGCTGTCCTGGTAGTCCACTTCCGGGTGCCCAGACTGGCCATCGTGGACAATGCCAGAATGAGGGGGGCTTGCGTCCATTGTGATCTAAATATATTGTTAAAGTTCTGTTTCATCAGCCTATCATGTTCGTAGGAATGTATGTTTACATAGCCATGAATACATTTTGAAAGATCTGAGGAGCATGGTTATAATTATTGGGCAAATCACATGAATTCAAAATAATACAAAAACGATCAAACCCAAACCTGGAACGTATATGTTTAGTCCAACCACAATACCACACCTACATGCATGCTGTCATTGATGATAACACGCAAGGCAAGGCAATGTTCAGCTTTATTGGTCTAATGGTTTCTGGGGACCGTTTACACGTCAGAAATCGGCCACGCATGGAAAGGTTCACAAGATACCTATCCTGTCTCTGTGTTGTGACCCTGGGACAACCTGGTCTTTGTGGATAGGCAATTGTTCCAGTGCCAAAGCCTCCATATCACACTCTGAGTTAAAATGTGCAGGCTGTTTCCCTTATGGTGCATCCCAATAGCTCTGTCTCGATTTTCAATAATCAGTGAGTGAGCGAGTATGGTTTTCTGCCGTTTTTAGCAATATTCCTACAATATCACGCCGGGGGACACCAGAAATGGGCTTCACATATTGTACCCATGTCGGGAATCGAACCCGGGCGAACGCTTTTAACACAAGGCTACCCGACCCCCCACCCCACCACCCCCCACCCCCATCAGCACTCAGAAATCGATGCATTGTTTCATGTGTTCCTGTCATTCACTACTGTTCTTAGGGTTTAAACCCACGTTCCCATACTCTGATTTGCAGTCTAACTGGTTGTGTACAAGCGGTATAAATTTGTGAACACAATGCATACATTTGTGAAAATGTGGTCAGTGTTTACCTGCTTCTACAATGATACCTTGGTTCAAATATTGCTTTATTAATAAAGCCACAAACATTCACATTAATCAACAGTAGACACAATAGTATTTTAACAACTGGGGCTTTGCTTATTATATTACGAGTGCGTACACTAATACGGTTCCTCTGTGGACGAGACGTTCACCTAGAGTAGGCGGCGTAATGGTAAGTTCAGAACCGTTACTTGCAACAAAGACCATTCTACTCCGCTAATACTATTGGGGATGTGATATACAATGAAAGGTGAAATTCGTTAAAAGATTTGTAAGCCGTTTACCTTTACTTCATGTTCAGTTTTGAGTTTAGCATGATTTGTAACTGTGACTTCAAAACAGTATTCCTTTCCATCAGCTGACCTGACTTCCCTTATGTCGTCGTGTGAAGGTTTCACATGGAAGTGGGGATGATAACATCTGCCGTCGGGAGTACAATAACAGTTACCATCCCTTGTGTCATACATGGTGTTGCAGTCATCCATGGTCTGAAATCATCGTTACTTAAACATCAAACATGACATCATTTCATTATATTTATTAGTTTATATTGAGTTTCAAGTGTTCAAAATAAGAACGTTAAGACTACTAATGTTTGAGGGACAGAAATGCTGCATAACACAAACTTTTCTGCAGGCCATTGCACCAATGACAACCTGGATTCTGGATACCAATCAAAAACAGTGACATACACGATGGCTTTGAATAGAGATGTCATGGACAGTCAGCACAATGTCTTCATCTTGTCGTTTTTCTACGATTCTCCATTCCACCATTTCCACTCCACTGTGTTCATCGGACATGTCCCATTCCATTCTAGGATGAGATAGATTTGCTAGGTAGAAAAGCTGTTTCAATATCAATCTAAGGTAATTTTTAATTTAATAACGTGATATTTCTCAAATTCATTTTAACACAATGTTAAAACATTCAAAATAAAACAATGTGTGTTGTCCCGCGGTGCCGTTTAAATGATTAAGATGAAGAACTGAATTAACAAATGGCACATGGACAAAACTACCACAAACATGCTTACATCACATCATTAAGTTCCTCCACCCGATAGACGCTGATGTTGAGGCTGTCGTTTCTGGAGAGCCACAGGTACTCTATGACTGGAGGTGATGTGTCGATGTGGACTGTCACGTGCTCTTCCTTCACATCCGACTTGATGTCATAGGCATGCACCCAGAAGCGTACGGTGTCCCCATCCACTAATGAGGGTGTTATTGTTTGTGACTGACTCAGACCTTGTTTTGTGAAAACGTTATCAGCCGGTGGTCTGGTGAGGTACGATCCCCCTTTATGGTCGATTTTGTAAGATGTTCGGAAACTGGTGATACCTAGTCACAAACATACACTTCATAACATGATCTGGGTGTTTGTTTTCATAAGTGATATCCACTTATTGATTAAATAATCACAATGGAATATACATCAAATATATATCTTCTGTGACAAACTTCAGTTGTCTTAAGAAATTATGTTCAATTACTTAATCAGTGAGCCACATGCCAACTACGTATACTGACTCACAACTACCTTGCAAATTTAGAATTGCAGCTATGTTTCTTTAAAATCCGCAGTGAGATAACAAATGAACATCACGTCGGCCGGTAAATAACCGTGGATTCATGAGCAATGTCCTCAGTCATCAGGGTACGGAGACAAGCAACCAATCAAATAAGCGAAGCTCACCAACCAATCCCCTTAAACATTGGAGTTCTGGGTCCACTTGCACAAAACGATCTCAGTGAAACGGCTCATGTAAGTCTACGATCGTCGTAGCGCTATGGCTTTGTGCACATGGACCCAGGGGATTAACTGTAACCCAGATGCCCTCCGGTCCGAGCTTCTCGTGTCATGAATTAATAGCACCACTGCTATTGTACGAAAGACGGCTGGTTTTGTCATAATGTGTGACAGATGAATTATATGTCATTAGATTCTGGAACCCGTGTATGTTCTTTATGAGCAACCTTCTGATGCGAGCCTACCTTGAACATTTTTGGTTGCAGCCACACTTCTGACACCCTCGTTGTCATCATAGTCCGAGCCGACACCACCACTGGAAGCCACCCCATGGAGCCACTTGTTGTTGTGATGTACTGTGTTGATGTATCTGTTGGTCCAGTCCACTGTCACTGTTGATGACGTCGTTTGCCACTCTGACGTTGCTGCTGATGCTGTCGTCACACGGAGTTCTTTATTATCCTGAGTTGTTACAGTCGACGTACCATCATATATCAGGATCCGTCTGGCACTTCTGTGATTACCTGCCTTGTCATAGGCAGACAGGACAACTGAGTACACCCCGACTGAAGGTAATACGAAGATGTCTGTCTCCTGAAAGAATACACACAGGATGTAGACAGTCTGAACTTGTCGGTTATTATTACCAGGTTTCCTTATCCCCGAAGTCAATTACAACGATACACAGACATAGTGAAACAAATTATATAAACTGATCGAACCAAATAAGGGAAAAATATATAATAAGCTTAACTAACTGTCAGTACAGTTGAAATAGCGCGCATACAAATTCAACACATGTCAGAATCAAACGTTGATATGTGTTTGTGTGCATTGTTTCCAATGTGTTTGTGGTTGACAAGGCTGGAAACCCATGGTAGTATATAATTTTACTGTGTCTAAAACTAAGTGTTAGCTTATCCATCTCCATCTGCCAAAACGAAACGCAAAAGCAGTTTTGCCGATATCCATGCAAAATAAATACCATGGATTGGGATCGATTTGTGTGGAAAGGAGTAGGGACTGCAGAAAGTTGATGTTAAGATGGAAAAATCGCAAAAACACAACCACGTGACATGCACGTGCAACATCACGTGTTGGACTACAACGCTATTGGCCGACTGCAAACAGGAGAATAGTCTTTGGCTGTAGCAAGGTTTTTCCCCAGATCCGATTGACCACGTGTCACTAGATTTATACGGCTACGTCACTTACGTGAATGAGCCACCATGGCCAAGTCTGACTACGGAAATACCAGGATTGTGAAGGAGATCAGCCCAGACAGTGAGGAACCGTTTACGCGCTGAAAGTATTCGCGCTAGGCGACCACTTTGCGGTGTCATTTTGACGTACCTGCATCGTCGGCTGCGACGTCAATGGTGACAAGGTCACAGAGTATGGCCACAACTGCGATAAAGTGACGAGTCACGTTTTATGCTTCGCCGTGCGGATGGTAAACGTCGTGTTTACAGTCGTCGCGGGGAATGTTATGCACAAAACTGCTTACAGGAAGTGGACAGATTTGGTGGTGGTAGTGTGATGATGTGGGCAGCCATCTCAAACACTGGTAGAACAAACTTTGTGCAAGTTCTGGGGAATTTAACTACACAACGTTACACGGATGTGATTCTTTGACCACACGTCCTTCCCTTTATGCAAAAAGCGAACGTAATTTTCCAACAAGACAACGCCTGACCTCACATGGCAAGAGTGACAACAGCCTTTTTGAGGAATCACAACATCCAGGTCCTGCCATGGTCCTCCAGATTTAAACCCATTCGAACACGTATGGGATTCACTCGATCAACGACTGCGAGCACGTCCGACAGTTGGCATAAACACTGCAGACAGAGTGGGATCTGATTGCTTCCATGAGACGATGATGCCAGGGAGTTTTGGACTCTAATGGTGGCCATAAAACATAATGAGAACAGATGACATTCACCATGTTCCATGTGCAACATATGGAACCTGGGTCAATGACAATATTGTGTGCCAATTTTGAACAATCGATTACCATCTGTTGATTATTTATGTGATACATAAACAATACATCACTTTTGCGTTGTTTTTTATGCAGAGTAAAGTAAATGAAACAATCACCTTTGACCTGTTGACAGTCTTAGTGTCGACTAAACGTTTATCTCTGAGTTCATCCCCAACAGCTCTGAGTTCATACACCTCCCTCACAAAGTGGTCAACACCTGCATCAGCATCTGACCAGCCACCCCAGCGGAGGTTCACTGTCGGCTGAAAACAATGATGAAACAAACCTAAGATTATGTCAAGAAGTTGACGAAATTATATAACTAACCTAAACCACAGGTGTGTTCTATACTTACAGCTGTGATCACATTGGGAGCTGACAACATGCTGCCAACACAGGCAGTAGAACCAGTACAGTGATAGGGAGCCACCAGGTCTATGGTCATAGTAAGGGTGTGGGTCTGTGTAGCACCGATGTAGTAGTGGGTTGCTAGTGTGTTACTCTCCTTGTTCCGGATCTTTACATACCCTCCATTGGTGGCCATGTTGGATATCTCAATGCTGCCAATGATGAATAAATTTGTCTTTTGTGTTTTGATAGTTTTAAACAGATGAAGCATCCTTTCCTTACACACGACAGGTAATTATCGACAAACTATACTCACACGAAAAAAGAAACGCAAGTGGATTTAAGCAAATAGGTAACAAACACGGAACCATAAATTGATACGAGTTTTAGCATGTAGTGAAGCCTGATGGTGTTATCAATATTTTTGGTTGCATTTTGAAAGCCCCGAGTAAAAACGCAACATAAAAAACGAATCTCTAAAACGCACCATTTCAATGAATATGTGGGTATCATGCACCCATTTCTCGCGAAATCGAAAATGCACCAACTGTCACGAACTTTAGTGGGTATAGAACTGTGGCCGATTCTTGGACCTACCACTCCTTGGTCAACAATGCCACGCCTAACTCAAATTCAGAAAAACCAGGCTATTGGACGTTTGGAAGAGTCTGTCCGAGATGTTGCCCGTCATTTCAACGTTAACATAACCACAATTTACCGTCTCCTGTATCGATACAATGCTACACAGACCACAGATGACCTTCCTCGGAGCGGTCGTACTAGGGTTACCACACCTCGACAAGATCGGCAGATTACCCGTCAATACCAGCGACATCCGTTCCTAACTGCAAGTGAAAGTGCTCGACAGACCATAGGAACACATAATCGACACATTAGCCGGGACACTGTGATCCGACGTCTCCGTTCCAACAACCTCAGATGTCGCCGACCAGCACGTCGTCCTGTTCTCCAACCTCGGCATTGACAAGCACGACTTCATTTGGCACAGGGTCATCGTGAGTGGAGGCGTGTCATCTTCTCTGATGAAAGTCGCTTTTGTGTCTCCCATGCAGACGGAAGAGTCAGAATTTGGCGGCGTCGAGGTGATCGTTTCGCTGACAGAAACGTTGTGGAAAGGGATCCACGGGGTGGACCTAGCATCATGATATGGGCAGGGATTGGACTTAATGCGAAACTTAGACCCATGTGCTTTCTGAATGTTGGTCAAGGTCGGGGACACGGCGTCACTGCTCAGCGGTATATCGACCAAGAGATCAGACCCCACGTTGTTCCATATTTTTCACAACATCAACAACACATTTTCCAGCAGGACAACGCTCCATGGCCTTTCTGCAACAACACAACATCCGTGTTCTACCGTGGCCAACCCTCAGCCCTGACCTGACTCCCATCGAACAATTGTGGGATAAAGTTCAAAGGCGTCTGCACAATGTGCGCCCAATCCCTACAACTGCCGATGAACTACGCACAGCTGCTCTGGATGTGTGCAGGAGGATCTCTTGGGCCTTCGTCTGATCCACTCAATGTACAGGAGATGTGTGGCAGTGATCAATGCTAATGGTGGTCACACCAGGTATTGACTGACATTTTGGGTATTGACCCGAAACTGTGTAAGCCCTTAACATTTGAAAAAAAAACAAACAATTATGTCATCTGCCTTTTAATCCATTAAACTGTCTTCAGTCAAATTTTTGTCAATCTTGCCCTATTAGTATTTCTTGTCTTTACTGTTGAAAATAAATAACATATATACTGCATACTCGACTTGCGTTTCTTTTGCGTGTGAGTATTAAGGGATCAAGGAACCAATTTCGGAAGGTATCATATCTGAACTTTACCACTGATTAGTAATCGTCTACATACATTATTATCCATCTACTTACACATCTCTGTGTTGCAAGGGTAGAGGCACATGTAGTACAGACGCCCATGATCTGCTTAACTCACAGGTGTACGGGCCTGTGTTCGGGCTGCTGCTGCTGACTCCTCCACATGGAAAGGAGGCAATTTGACCTTGGCAACAGAACAAAAACATATCATAAGTCATGACCATTATCCTGCATACAGCTGATATACCTATTAACAAACCATGGTATATACTTTCTAGTAAGGGGATGACATGTGGATGATGACGCTGAAGTACCTCTTAGTTTGAAGGAAGTATTACCACCAACAATGCCCACTGTGAAACGTTCAACGAAGGCATGTCTGGCAGGAGGAGCTGTTCTATATTCGGCTGTGAACTTGTAGTATATGCTGGATGGGGAGTTGATGTTGGACCAGCTGGTGGACTGAGATGGACCATTGCTGATGTTGGGAGGTGCCTCGGCCACGTCCCCATTACTGGCGGTCAGTCGTAGGAGGTTGGAGTTTATCGTGGGCTTCGCTGTAACTAGAAACCAAATCATACACAGCATATGAACTGCTATTATAAAAGGTTTGATCAGGTTAGTGAACTATAGAAACATTACATCTTTAGGAAAAGAAGTACCAAAAGGCAGATATTTGATATCGCCACGTGTGCCTGGCTCTCTAGCCCTCTTTCTCTGGCTGTTAATAAGTCTCACTTGTCTGACAGTGTTTCCCTGTGAATCCACTGGAGCAGGCACAGTTGCTGGCGTACTCGTTCCTGCAGGTCCCGGGATAACACCAGGTGCTGTCACTCCGCCAGGAACACGCCTCTGTGAAGGAAACCTTGGATTAAATTTATTGAGTAAGAAAGTATACAAAAGAAAATCGGTTTAATACCAAAATCAGGTTTTCAAGAGCAAAATAATTTTAAAATCGAGAGAACTTTAATATTACAGCTGAACTGGATATGTAGGTATGGGATCATATGTGTACGTCTCTCAGTGTTTGATTGATATTGAATGTATAAAGTAGACTTTTTATATCGAGACTCAAAACAAACTAATCGGGAATACTATAACCTGTATACTTGTCATAATTACATAATTCTTTTCATTATACATTATGCGACACAATTCTATTTTAATACTCATTACATACTCACGTATGCAAGATTTCCTTGTTGAAGATTTCACATATGCCCTGTGTCCTGCCTGCTCCGACACGACCCCCTCACAGCGACTACACACCTGGTTGCTGCTGCTGGTGCACGTCTCTAGGTCACAGTTGCTGATGGCGGTGCACGCTGACATAAGGGACAACGGATTAAGTTCACACAAACGTGTGTGTGTGTGTGCGTGCTTGTGTGTGTGCACGCGCGCGCGCGTGTGTGTCTACGTGTGTGCAACCTGTTGTCTACTAAAATCCTGTTATTCAGTGTAACCCTGTTAATCGGGATGGTGCCGTTCAAACGAAATTGTCTGTGTTAATGTTGATGTCCTTAGCACTGACCACCTTGGAAAGCTGTGTTGCAAACCCCGGGCCAATGTTCTGCTCATGCTATTTAGAAAAACACGAACGCATATACCAGGAGACGTATTTTCAATATGAAATTCTTTGTTCCCCAAAGAGTACCGAAAACTATCAAACACTCAAGAGGCACACGTGTACACATATTTTAGTCTATAAATATATTTAGTCTATTGTATTGTAGTCTAAAAACTAGCGTTTTGAAACATGTGCTTGAAAAACTGATAGTATTAATGGACGTTAATTTCCACCCAGAAAGTGATAGGCCTACTGAGCTGAGCCTGATAGCGGTGACAATCAGTAACAGGGGCTTGGTGGGCACGATTTCTCACCGTTTTTGCTCCTCAGTCAATCGTACTCTCTCAAGATAACTAAGGATCCAATATACCTCCATATATCATAGTAAAAAGATGGAAAAAATGAGTATGTCGAAATAAGGATTTTAACTAAAGGGCTCAGACAGGAGACATATGACAACAACCCAGTAGGACAAATGGGCAATGCAGAAGGGGGTATTGAGGTAATAAGACGCAATCATCCCAGAATCAACATAATTGAGGAATGGACGGATGCATTTTTGATATTTGTGAGCATTTATCTGGAGGCACACAGCAAATGCTCAAATACATGAATATTGTACACATGGCAGCTACAAGGATGACAGATTAGGATTGGCGTTCCTATGATCAGCAGTTTCGACTTCGCCATGCTCACAATCCGCATGAACCATGGTCTGTCATCGACAATGAACGTTTGCTTATGTTTGCAACCCAATCATCAAGTGCTTATATCAATCCATACTACAAGCAAGGTCAAGGCCAAGGCCAATATATTAAACCCAACACACAGATAAAACGCCAACTTCCATGCTATGACTTCAATTCATGCTTTGACTTCGAAATGGAGCTGCAGTTTGTGCAGATATGAACATGTGTGTAGCAACTGTAGTAGGCCCCACCCTTCCCGCCTTTGTAAGAGTATGTCAAAGTTGGCACATGTAAGCCACTCAAATGGGAAAGCAACCTAGTTTTGCCTGATAAAGGTAAATCGCTAGTCAATCCGCCTTTATTAACAGATTACAATAGGTATATGTAGGATGGCAGGGCCATTTAATATATTTCCTACAAATCCCAAACTTAAAGGTGTCACATAGACATAAAAAGAGCATTTCGATTGTGTAGGATAATCAATAAACAGGATCTATCGGGTATATCTTTCCAGGTAAACTATTATGTAGGTATGTGCCTCCCAATGGGATGCCGCACCAGCTGTGTAGTGTTTGAAGTTTCATACACTGGACTATTCAATGCAGGTTGAAACAAGGGACATTACTTCACTATTTGGATGACTTTCGTTTTGGTAGCTCACCTAACCCTAATCATGGCCAAGGCGCTCTTGACACCTTTATGTTGCTATGTCAGGAGTTGGGAGTTCCTATTGCAAGTGAGAATACAGTACTTCCATGTACTTGTTTGACATTCCTTGGAGATGAAACTGATTCAGTAGCGATGGAATTGAGAATACCGACAAACAAAATCAATCATGATCGATACAAAAATAACAAGAAGAGGTTTTGTTGTGAATTATAATATAATCTAGGGAGGGGTAACAAATGTTTGATGAATGAAATTGTGCAATCACAGGTAATGTAAGCTCAAGGTAAACAATGGTGTGGTAAGAAATTTCATTTTCAAAAGTTGTCTGAAATGTCACCAAAAGTTTGTCAGACACACTACAAGTTCATTGTCGACATAGTTGCCTTCAATAGCGTGTATGACCTCCAGCTGCCTCAATGCATGCTGTGATACGCCGCCTCATCGATGACGTCAGTCTTCTGATGACGTGGACTGGAATCCGCTGCCACTCGTATCTCAGGGCCTGCTGCAATTCTTGTCTGTTGACGGGAGGCTGAAGGCGTGCTCTAATCTGTCTGTCAAGATGGTCCCACAGATGTTCAATAGGATTCTGGGCAGACCAGGGCAAAACGTCAACGTTCAGCTGGTTTAGAAAGTTCCGAGTCACTCTTGCAGTATGGGGCCTGGCATTGTCGTGTTGAACAATGTCCCCCGCTGTTGGTTTTGTAACTGGCTGCAACACTTGGTATCTGGACTGCACAGCGTTCGGGTTTCCCTGTATAATCACTAAATCAGTTTTCTGACCTCCACAAATACACGCTGGAGCCAAACGTTACCCTCTGTGTCGATAAACTCGTTCTCTGCCGTCATTTCGAAACAAGTTAACCGACATTCATCAGTAAACAGCACTCGACGCCAATTTCTCCCTTGCCAGCGTCGAACCTGCCTCGCCCATCGCAGTCACAGGCGTCGATGTTGAGCAGTCAGTGCCATTCCTCGGAAAGGACGATAGGCTCGGATTCAAGCAGCACGAAGTCGTCGAAGTACTGTACGTTGGCTTATGGGATGTCCCAACGCTAATGCTGCCGTCGCCGTCGCCGTTACGAATCTGTTTCGCAGGTGAATGAGCCGTATCTGACCGTCTTCCAGTGGTGTTGTCAGTCGGGGTCGTCCGGTTTTAGGCCTGTCCTGTGTCCTCCCTGTCTGCCTGTACCGTTAGATCAGCCTGGCTACTGTCAATGGTGTACAACCAAACCTTCTGGCAATTTGGACCTGTGTTGCCCCCATTTCGGCCATACCGATGGCTCTCTCTCTCTCTCTGCTCCTGTGACAGTCGTGGCATTTCTTTTGTGTGCTTTCATCACGTGTGGTTATACCCTGCAGACGAACGCATTTATACAGCTAACATGCACGTGCAGTTTATGCCATAGGCGGGAAACCTGTTTCACCATTTTTTTGTCACCGCACGAGCGCCGTCAAAGGTGGCGCGTTCGGGTGAGGTGTTTTTTGGTACCTGTTTCTGGGCAGTCATATTCCCAATACCCACTTTCCACTAGTTATCGCTAGGAAAACTACAAATGGCCAACCTACCTTTCTTTTGCGCTTAGTTTATTATTGTCCCAGAGATAATGTCGTTGTTATTATTAAAGTCATTTTGGGGTATATCACTGACCTTCAGCCATCGATAGGTGTAACCTTGCTCTGATTTTGAGATTTTGTGACTACCAACTCAAAAAAAGGCTTTGGGAGACATAGACGTCGCCTCATCTAGCAATTAGTCCAAGAAATAAAGTTATTTTATTCCTAAAATATACATCTACAAAATGAAAGAAGTAAATCCAAATGGAGCTCAGAACAATGCGGAGGCAATCTAGACTTGAGTTAGATTCATTTTGGGAGAATACTGGGAGAGAATATATGTCAGCATCGGACCAAGTCTAAATCAAGAATTACTGTATACCCTACTAGAGTGTAAACTTAAGGACAGGTATGGGATTGTTGACTCACCGTGTGGACACCCAATATTGTCAGTTGATCTGTACCCAGTCCTGCAGTGGAATGTTTTAGACGACCCCCGCCTGAAATGTAGGTATTATTACAATGTGGTCAGTTACAACAATACGTGTGTGGTATTTGGAGGAAACTATCGGAACGGAACTTCATATTGTTATAAGAAAGGATCAAATGAGATAAGACTGTATTGTCCAATGTGAAGATCCATGTTGCACAGTTGATTAGCACTAAAATATGAAAAAGAAATATGACATAAAAACATGTACATAAGGCAATAAATCATTTACTAATATAACCATAGGTAACGACATGTAGAAAATTAGACATTATCACAGTGACAGGAAAGGTATTTAAATAAATATCTATAACAGATATCTATATCTCGGTAACAGTAAACTTTAATAAAATGGATAATGACAGGAAAAGTTTTGTATAAAGCGAACTGTTGGAAAGTATTCAACAGATAATCATTTAACGGGCCAATACTGTCGTGATCATACGATGTGTTTCTTCGTTACCTTATATATCATCATGTTTTTTATTTATACATTATGTGATTCTACGATAAACATGTGCATATGGATGTCTAGTACGTATACAATCCAAATAAAAGTTGAGTATCGAATAAACATATATTCCCACGTGTTCAATGTCTAAATATGTATTGTTTATGTAGTACACATTAAAACGGTAACACACACATACATGTAGAAAGGAAAAAGAAAATGGATTACCCTACCTGTATCTGGTGCAACGACTCCAGCCCCATGTACCGCACTTTGTTGTGTATCTCACCTGGGAATACGTTGTCCTCGTAACCACGTTAGTGCTAAAGATAACGGAATGAAAAAAAAACAACAACGTCAAGAACACAGTACAGGAAATCACTTATACAAACACAGAACTTCAACAGGCAATATTCTACACAAACATTAATTCAGGAAAGCCTTGATTATTTAAAGCGACATGACAACGCGTTCAGGGAGACGTAATATATATCCGCACATTAAAAGGATAACATGGCGGTTATTCTGTAAAACGTGTCTATTCTATGTTTATTCATGTACATGTATTCTACATGACATTGAAGAATCTTCTGATTGGTTATAGTGAGGTCACAATTTTTCAATTAAAACCTTTTGACACAAAAACCGTGTTAATGAAAATATCAACTGTCCTCAGAACTGCATACGTTCGATATCGGATGTTTTTTCATCCAAGACATTATCCCTGACTGGTGTGATGATGCGGTGACCATCCTTAAGGAAGGCATATCGTTAACATACAAATGATAATTACGTTCATGAAACTTTTAGTGACTTGTTCTGTAATATTCTAACTGAAATGCACTATAATATAGGTGACATAAATCATTAGAAAAGTGCACTCCGTCCTGTCCAGTTGCTTCATTTAAATTGTATCTGTCTACAATTAATCCTGAAAGCACTGCTTTATGCACCAAAAGCCCCGAGCACTCACAAACATTTCTCCCGACGCTCCCTGGTCCACTGCAGAGTCACTGCACAGGCACTTGATCAGTTAAGCAAGACCTACACGAACCACTGTGTCAGTGCCACACTCTTAAACCATGCAGTGGAGATATGGAACAGGTTGCGGTGACCTTGAAACATATCTTTGGGAAACGTTGTGTTTTGAAGAGTTATTTTGAACTAGTGTAAGACTGTGTGTATTTTAATCTTGAACTTCAGTGATATTATGTAACATTAACAATACCTGTGACCCCTTTTCGGAACAATCTAAGATAGCTGACCTTTGTACTCATAATGCACTTGAAAGCGTCATTGTAGAATTTAGCTCTTTAGCGCGAGTATTCAAATGTAAATAAGAAGGTATCGATTCTGCAGTGAGACGTCAAATTTCAAAATACACTAGGTATATCTCCAAACTACCTGTCTACACAATAACATGATTACATTCATGTGTAATACGTGCTTACACATAATCACAATTGTATCGAGACGTATACTAAGAAAATATTTGAAATTATGTGATACGTGTACGTAATTTGAGGATTACATAGATGTGCTGACTATGTAACAGATATCCGTTTACAGTAAAGTACGTTTATATCGAACACGACCATTTGTTGTATAAATGTTGTATATATGCCTGTAACGAACTACGGTTATTACGAACTAAAATTAGTGGTCCCTTTGAGTTCGTTATAACCGTAGTTTAGTGTACATAAACACGATGACACAGAAACGTTAACAGTGTGTGATACGTGTATACCCTGTACCAGGACGACATGCAGGCAAACAGTTTACACTATAGCTCAGAGATCCATATATATCCACACCCGTTGTTTCATTTCTTTACAACACACAATTCTTTAGCTGAAGCCAATTAATACGTTAGAAACATCTACTTACGCATTTTCTCGAAGTCCTGTGCTAAAACCAAATATCAGCATAAAACAAGAACCAAGGGCGACGAAGCTATGAACAGACATTTTATCATCTGGCAGAGCTGATCACAGTGTCACCTAAAACAACGTGGGACAGGACCAGGAAGAACATTCAAGTGTATAACACGTGACACATGCAGATAGATTGGTTGATATAACACTGGCCTTTTATAAACGATTTGCAATGCTTGTGACGGCGTGTGGTACATCACAAACATGGCATGTATGAATGTCGCATTGATTCGTCAACGTTTTTAAACAATTCGAAACTATTTCTGACCTTTTTAATACCGTGTCAAAGTACTTCACTTTAGCATGTTTGAAGGAAATTAAACTGTACGATAAGATGTATTTTTTAGTTTTGAATGTCAGTTTTTACTGTTTACTGTGATAATTGACAGAAGATTTTTATGGGGTTTTTTTCTATGGAAATTCTAGTAGCGAATAGCTGCAATATTGCTAATGTGGCTTCAAGCAACATTTACTCACTCACAAGACCAGCATAATATAAATGATCTAGTCTCGCAATGTTGCTGCATATTGCATACTGCTATGTGTGAGGGGTAACACGGAGAGAGGGATGTACATGTCATGTCCTGGGGGCTCAAATGCTTACTTAACGATCGGTATACTTGTGTCGTGTATACCACGATGCCACTACCATCCGCCGTACCATTTAGAGATGATAATGTTTTCTTATATATCGAACTTTAGATCAAACTGGTAGTTTTCATAGACCTGATACTCTTGTCATGTCGTATGACCAGTTTTTGAAAGACGTTTTTGTTTTGGAAAATAATGAAATCTTTCCTTGACATTTTCGTCTAATATTAAGAGGAGAAGGTTTTTTTTAATGAAGTAAAGCTTAATGAACGTAAATAATCATGTAAAATCAAAAACTGAAATATCCTAAAACCTAAGTAAAAATCATAATCAGTGCACATCTGCACAGGTAAGACCCGGATTCGATTCCTCATTGGGTACACTCTGTGAATCCCGTCCCTTTCTGGGGTGCCCCACCGTATCATGGATGGAATATTGAAAATACATGTGTATTTCTTTTTCGCATGACGTTGGAACGAACGTATCACGTATCTATTGATAGATGAAAGTAATACCGTCTCAACATTAGTTCGGCATTGATTCCCTAACAACCGATATAATATACCTGTACATTGCCCTGCCGGCAACATCAAAGCAATTTATGCTGTAGTCGCAAAGGTCAATATCCTGGTAAGACACTGTTTTCAAGCAGTAAAAAGGTCTAGTAGTTTTATTCAGTAAGAGTGAGTGAGTGAGTTTATGCTTTACGTCACATCGGCAATATTTCAGCCATATCGTGACTTACTCAGTAAGAAGAGTAAAACTTTGGTTTATAGTTAGTGAATCAGTGTATCAATGATATATGAATAAAGTTGTTTTATCTCATTTGGCATTAATCAATAATGATATGGTCTACTCCATGTATTCTATGTAAGGAATCGACCAGGTTAAATTATTTCAACCTTTTCTTAAAATAACTTGTGTATACGTGCAAACCTAGGCAGGAGATACATAATCTGTGTTGGCGTAAACCCACGTAATTATAGACACATCATATTGGTACTTGCGTATATGTTTATGCGTATGGACAATGTATGCGTATGTGCGTAAATGAGTGCATGCAACGACGTATGCAGGTAGAATGAAATGTACTAGGTATTATTTGAACTGGCTCTTAATGACATATGTTATTAATGCGTGTTCTTTGTTGACATTGTGAAGAAGACCACGTGGTACCATGTATGTTTATTTTGCTAAAAGGCAGTGTTGGCAGTTGTCAGGAAGTTACTGTGTTTATATGCTAGTGCGGTGTGTAAACTTCCGGTTACGTCGACAGTGTGTTATAGAGACACGTGGAATGTGCCAGTGTCGCTGGACTGGTAAGGGCTCTGTGTAGAAGTTTCCAATGGCTAGTTGGACTGTATATATAGTCGGATAAGAGTGTTTACGCATCTCTCAAACGTTTCATCACATCAAGACCAGCTTTCCTGTGTTGATCACTCATCCCCTCTAATTCCCTGCCTAGATCCACCTCGGAGCTTGACCACTGTCGCCGCTGGCTGAATATACTAATATCACTGACTTTTGCTATAACCGCTGTATTTGTGTATTTGAAAATGACCAATGCCATCATATTATATATTGCCATTGGGTATGTACTACCACTCTATTGTTGACTGCCATTGTAATTGCTGTGCAGTCATTTGTATTGATTTGTAAAGTTCGTGAATTTTGTAATACATTTGTTGATTGTATACCACTTGTCAGTTTCACACTGTGTTCTTTCACGTACATATTTCTGGGTTAACATCTTGTTTCAATTTGGGAAACGACACTTAATAGTTTACTGAATAATTCCAGACGGGACTGTATGCGTGAAAGTTGGAGTGTGTAAGCCCAGGGCCAAACATCTGCTAGGTGTTTTATATTATATGCATACATGTCAGACAGAGTGAATACTCCTTACCTGCGGAATGACTTGTTTTCATTTTATAAGTATCAGCGTACATGCAGCTATCTTCGTTAATGTCAGGCATTTTGTCACAGAGACGGTCACTTCACGGGGCGTTGAATAACCAGACGTGTTTTACACTCATTGCCGGGTTGATATGCATTTTGAATTGGCGATCGATATCAGCCCGGTAAGGAATTGGAGTTACGTCCCTTATAACTCCATGTGCTTGGCTGGCTTTCCCGTGACAATGTCTTTCAAAGAAGTTGAAAATGCATTGCTTTCACGTGCAAATAGATACATTTTACAGTTTGTCGCTATGGAATATGATAAAAAGTTAGTTATATGGCAGTTTTTATGTCACACCTCATATTAACCCTCGACTCCCATATCAGCCTTCGGCCCTCGTGCTTGACAAGGGGGGTCTTGGGTTGATATCGGGTATCATATGAAAAATGCCATGTAATAACCACTAGATATAGACCAGTGATTCCAGATTAGCAATTCAGAGAGCCATGATGTATATTTCTATATGTGGTCTGTGTTGCATGTAGTGTGGAAACAGGCTCCTAGTGGAAATATCAGCTGATAGCTGTTATGTACCATGTATCTGAATCCTGATGTATGGTGTCTTATGATATTGAACCTACTCAGACTTAAATTGTGAACTGATTGTTTGTGGGTTTTATGTAAATGAGGATATTGGACATGGGTTGATTCGTCCCAGAAAAAGAAATGATTGTTGTGAATACTTCAGAAAGTAATCACTTATTAAACATTACGTAAATACGCAGATAACGTACACCATATCAAGTTCTGGAGAATAACACGAGTGTTTTGTCAGCCGCCGCTTTGAAATATGTTTCATTTAAATCAGGCTGCTGCAAAGCCAGAAGTGATAGCAGGTCTTATAATTAGGTCATTTCCACCTTGGTGAACTCAAGAGAACAGGAATAGTGCTGAGAAACCATGAAATATAATCAGGTCGAATCTGGGATATTCGAACCCACAGGTTCAACACGCATAAGAGACGCAACTCTGCACAAAACGATTCAACTGAAACATCCACTCACCCAGAAGTTTAAAATGATATATGGACAAACACAAACTCTACCAGGATACAAATTGTGAAGCTTTTTATTTCCAACCTCAGCATATATATCATGCAGATAACCTATGATAAACATTTCATTATAACAATGATAATGATTAATAAACTTTATATTGGATTTGCGAACAGCTGAAAATGACGTCGCATCGTTGACAAACAGCTTTATAAACTTAAAAGGAAAATGAGAGGGTAATTAAAAGAAATATGCTTGTACAGACAATTATCATAATTATCATAAAGAGTCAGGCGACTATGTATAAGTAAAACCTGGTAGCATCACCTGTAGTGGGTTCTCAGCAAATGTATTATCATATAAAATATACATATGCTACAACGGTGACTGGATATATCTAGTTTAATGGTTTGTGTTTTTATAACTTGCTCTTAATATGATCGTTTACCTTAATATCTCATGTCTATCATTAAATTATTTCAATTCCCGTTCACAGACTACAGTACTCGGACGTCAAAATATCTAGACTAACACGTTTACAATGCTGGTTTAATCGGGCAAAATTGTTAAAGTATTGGATTGTGAAAATAACGTAAATAGGTTATTGCCCTGCATCGCGCGGACAACGCATATTTCAGTTGATCACCTCACCAAACACAATACACGTTCAACAATTACTCGGCCTTGTCCCGTGAGTATGGGGGTTGATGGGGACCCCAGACCGACCTCTCTTGCCGAAATATCTTCTTTCACATACATACGCTATCAGAGAAATGGCTACAACTGCGAGAACGATCGCAATGATAATACCAGCTAATGTCGCACTTTGGGAAACTCTGACACATACAACAGAACAAGATATGATCCGTTTGTTATATCATACACTCGAAGTTAAAACAGAAAACAGTATATAATTATGAACAATTCGTTACATTATACATGTAAGACGAAACTGACACCGTTATACAATAATAAGCTCAATTTATTCGAATGTAAATGTTATGCAAAATGGACACCAGTACAAGAATACAGATATGACCAGACCCGGTCAGCTGATGGGTTCCCGTTCACGGCAAGATGCAACACACATCATGTATCCTGTTACCTACCCTTTAGTTTCACAGCAAGTGCGGCTGTTGATGGAACCACAACAGCCGTAGTCACAGAGGATGGTGCTGCGTCAGTGATCTGTCCACAGCTTATGCACAATACATCAGGTAAAGGAGCGATGTCATATTTTGTAAACGTCAAGGATATTTATAATTAATATGCTCGGGGTAAGAAATGTCATTTTTCCCCAGGCTACATTATCACGTTTGGAATTCGACCTTGTAATAATTCGCATCCAATAAAAATGACGTCATGACATCATATCATATCTTGATTTGCACAGTGGGTTCGTCTATGAGTTTCATTACTGGAGCGACATTTCTCACACATATCACTAAGGGTAGCTGACCTGCTTTATAGAATACTACCAAGCGAGATACGGTTTTCCAGTAATTCTCACTAGGAATTAATATTTTTACTTTATGCTGATTGGCTAGTTTGTTCCAAGACTCGGAACTTAAAACATTAACTCAATCGGAACAGATATTCCGTAAATATCAATCAGTAAGTTATTCTTAAAATTATCTATTCCTCGAGAATAAGTGTGGTAAATGACCTTGGCTCGAGGTTTAATTAACTATCGAGTCTGTAAATACACATCTCCATTTTGTCGATATTCTTGACATAAAGTTTATACCACATTTACCAATACAAACTAAAAGCAAAAGTAATATTTTAAGAGTGATATAAACTATGCTGAAGTCTATTCTAAAGTTGTACTTATCAGCTATGCTAACTATAAAGCAAACATAAATATGATAGATGTTTTGACAGTTACTCAGTATATAAGTTATAGTAACTTAGTTAATTATGAGATGGTATGATTACTAGGTACATGTAGCCTCCACATTGTTGCAAAAAAATGCAACCCAGAGTCCACAAACATATACTGCCAGTAGCACATGTCGATATTACTCAAGTATGTGTGCACTGTACGACTGGGCAAAGGTTACATTTCACAGGCTGGCTCATTATCAACATATATAGTCAGAGCCACATGCGTAGCAAAACGCCCACTAACAGGTATATGTGCCATCATGGCTTGGTAGAACCGTATAGCGACATTACATTCACGACCCAATAATCGATACACAAACTGGCTATACCGCATTGGGCCTGTTAAAAGGGACACGCTTATGTATATTTATTTCAGTGACACCTTTGTGAGCCTTTACAATAGGGATTGAACCCTTACGTGCTTACGTGAAATAATACTTCCCAGAAAATCGAATGCAATGCCTTAAGGAATATTTACAGAAAATAATTCATTTTCCTTATCGTCGATGTTTTCACATTTCCATTCCTAGACTGAAGGCGCGCACCGCATTGTTTGAATGTCTCCATACAGCTGTTTTCAACCTACCCGTGAAGTAGATACACGTTACAATGAAACACACAGTGTACTCCATCCTCGACGATGAAGATCGTGGAGTTTATCATTTGTTGTGGCGTTTCCTCTTGGTTGAGTATGCTTCTATTCGCGCGAGCCATTGTTTGCAATCGATGGTTTTGGCTACCGTTACAGCTTCTCGGTGGTTTCGTAAACGATTATGCAGTCCGCAAATGTGCCATTTTCGCTTTGAAATATTCCTTGGATATTGTCAAATGACATACTGTAGTTCTAATTATGTGGAGGAAGGTGAAAATAGATCAAAATATGTTTTTCAAGACACCGAAATTGGCCACATTTGTTGTTTACAGATCTCGTTCAGTTCAAGCTATGTAAGGTTTCCAAGCGCTGTCTAATAGGTATCGAGTGGTTGTATTGTGTGACATGACTCAGCATAATTTGTGTCTTCGTATCGAAGGCGATTGACACCTGATGACGTTGTCACACATTAATTTGTCTGGTCCAGATTCGATTATTTACAACATATCCTAAAGCATATGATGTAATGAGAGCCAACCACATTCAATCCATATTCGGTTCTCAATCGACATCCAGTCTACACACAGACCGTACGGGGCCCGAGCTAAAATCAGCGCTGGTTTGGGATATTTAGCATTGTAATGTTTGTGAACAGATACAACCAATGGCGATTTGGTATCACCGCCTTTCGCCTGGACACGTGCGTCATTACGCGGGTTGATTGATGCGTTCTGAGCCTCATATAGAAAGAATTGCATGACAGTGTAATCTTTTGTTGTGGACTTTACATGCTGTTGTGGATAGAAGTATATCCACAAAACCACGAGTCATTTGAGTAAAAAAAGCGGGTGTGTGTGATCTCTGGACAAAGGACAGCCCTGAGGAATGTGCAGTAATCAACCCCCACACAGGTTCACAGTAACACACCCACACTGCCACACTGAAGAACACATTAATGCTTCGATTGTTATCGTACCCAAGAAAATGTGTAAACCTGTATATACGAATACCGAACCTCCTAACCCCCATGCCCCTGACGTTTCCGCTCTGTCAGTAAGATGTGAAGTAAACAATACCGGAGACATTAATGTTTGAAGGAATGTTTTCCTCAACACTTATCAGGTTTGGGTTTTTTGTTCAGTATATAAATATCATATAAAATAGAACATATAAATATATGACTGAACGCCAGTTGTTGGGTATAAGTTGGTCATGCCCATACCTTCCTCGGTGTATCGACCAACACACCTACAGTTTAGTTCTTGGAAGCTCTTTGACCAACGGTGCATCTGTTTTCCCTGGAACGGCGTGGCGATCGCAGTTGCATCTACAGTTAGCGTAGTTTAATAACGGGCCACTATTTTACACGTGGACTGTGTGTGGCAATGATGCCCGACCTCACGGGGATTACTGGCTAATGACAGGTGACATGGACACCATACTTGCCATACATCCGATGAGGATCGGAAGGTTGTGATGTGTGACCTTGCTGATAGGACCCGGCGGCAAGGCACCGTTGCTCGTGATGTCAACAGCTTATCCTATTTGTCTGACTTGATGTTTTCCAGGCATCCGTGATCTAGATTTAATATTGGTGACACTTTCATTCACTACACTCGCTTATCCCTGTAATGTGGGCTGATGGCGTGTTTCAAGATGTTTAAATAACCCTTGGCGTTAAGTAACATGTTTTGAATTATTGCTGTATTGAAATATGAAGTGCCCGGACTCAAATCACACTCTGACTGCACTGCATATGTATACGTACACATAATTATGCAATTACAATTCTACCACACTCTTATAATCATGTTTAGTCACCACCCTAATTGATCGAAATACACCACAGTGGGAGGTATATTACAAGTTTAGGAAGGATCAAGAGGGGTACATATGGTTTTATGTGTCCCGCGTTAGGTTTCATACCACGAGCCGGGCGAGCACCCGAGTGCTCCTGTTACAACGGATTTATCTTACCGACATGGTTTAATGTGACACTGTGAAAGAATTAAAACAAATTCAAAATTGATAGAACATAGCTGTTCGATTAAGCTGAGATTACCTTTGCTATGTCACGTGACTTTCATTGACTCGGAAAAAGCGTGTGGCTTTGTGCTTCGAGTCAAGAGATCAAGATCACGAAAATCGATCAGATCTCATCATTTTGACATGGGACACGTGAAGATCCGGGGTAGAATAGGTCTTCAGCAACCCATGCTTGTCGTAAAAGGCGTATATGCTTCTCGTAAGAGGCGACTCTCGGGATCGGGTGGTCAGGCTCGCTGACTTGGTTGATGCATGTCATAGGATCATAATTGCGTGAATCGATGCTCATGATATCAATCACTGGATTGTCTGGTCCAGACTCGATTATTTACAGACCGCCGTCATATAGCTGGAATATTGCTGAGTGCGGTGTTAAACAAACAAACATTCTGACATGGAGGTAAGATCATGATTATTATTGGTTCCGCTTGAAACCAGCGATAATGCACAAAAAGTAACATGTAGTTTACACACCGATGGGGTTATGATACAGGGGCTTCATGTATGTTAACCAAGGATGCCGACTCTGATAAACAATACCAGTACGGACAGAACCGTAAAATACATTCATTTAATATCTGGGTGCGACTAGCATCAGCTCGCAGTCATTACAATTGTTCACGTATATCTCCCCACTGATGGTGCAGGGAAAACACTGCACTGACAAGTAGAGTGTAATCAATATATCATCTCCCGTGAGACGTGCGGAACACAATCACCATGGACCTCGTTACCTTGGTGCCACAAACAATAGGGTCAAACACAAACTTCCTAACACGACGTAGCATCAACAAATCATATAATATATATCATGGAAATCTACATGTTCGTTTGAAAACAATACGTTCATGTTCCTGTTCATATGGTAGCCCTCAAGAACCATTGTGTAGTAAGGTTGACTTTTTCGTCTGATGTAAATATAATGATCGATTAACCATATGTCTCTGGATGAAGACTTGTTTTGCTTGCTCGCGGCATGACGATAAGCTTGAGGGTAGTATAGGCTGATATATTTGTGTCCACTGCAAGACCCTCTGACTGGTGGTCATAATGGCTTTGGGTGTTTATAGTACTTTGGTTTGAGATCAAATGGGGGCAATCAAAGCTCGCACAAACCGGTTTCTGGTTTCCCTCATTATGGCATTGTTGCATTTTACAAAAGCTTCTATTCTAGGTCCTGCAACGGGAACTTCGAGGGTATTTTATCTCGGGTATCACTCTGAACCAACAATGTGCGTGCGTACATGTATGTATGTGTATGTGTTTGTGTGAGTGTGTGTGTCTGTGTGTCCGTGTGCCTGTGCGTGTCTGTGTTGTTGTTCAGCAATATTCTCGTAATATGACGGCGGACAAGTCAAATAAATGTTTGATATTGTGAGCAACAAGACCCCCCGCCGGGATACGATGACGCACTCTTACGACCAACCTTGGTTGCTGGGAACCACTTCCAAACCGGAAAACCAGAGTTCTTTCAACTGAACACATCAGACAATATCATTATTTGTACCTTTCAAAACTTTATTTACAACGTTCAATCAACAGTTCAACGTAATAGTCAAGCTTCTGTAAACTTGATATCATATAGTTTGTCATGCTTGACAAATATCACAGTCTGGTTCAATCAAGCATGTGTGCATATACAAACCCTATATCATCCGAACACATACACTATATACACCTGTGGAAGGCAATGTCTTTCACTGGTGCGATGATTGTATTCGGAGTAGGGGAGGTGACGTCTGTGGGTAGGAATTTTATACTCACCGCCAAAAGAAACGCGAACCATAGAAACATATAGAGAAGTATGTACGTTAAGAAGAGATGTAATCAGTGTGTAACAATCAATGACAAAACTGACAACCAGTCAAGTGTTACCACAGAGTCTCTTCATTTTTATCACGATATGCTGCATGTGATTTCTAAACTTTACACGCTAATCTTGCGCGAGACAAATGGTGCATCTCGAGTCATGGATCTATGACGTCACATATGGTTGCGTTTCAAGAGCGTCGGTACACATAACATACCAGTATGTTCATTTGTGCATCGAACCAATCTGATATCTCTTAAATATGAGTAATTCTTCATATATTAACCAACATGTAATGGTATTCGCACGTGTGCACTTCGTACATTGTCTCCACAGGTAAATATATCCAGTTATTACAATGGTAAAGTCAGGATATTTTATCGATGGCAACTTCTATAGGTATGCTTATATCGTTGTCTTGCTTGACAGCGGTATAAGGATCTGTGCCGAAACGTCGCATTATAATAGAATATGGAACTTGTCGTCCGTAAAATATCCTTCCTTTACTGTTACTTTCCAACTCAACTTCTACAAATGACAGTCAAACAGTTTATAACAATGGTGAATTTATGATTAAACGTAAATATTGAAACAGGTAAAGTGTTGTTTCAAAGGCTAAAATTAAAAGTTCCTTTGAATATTGTTTCGTCTGAATGTTGATTCTCTGTACGAAAACATATTATGCACATTAACCTACTATACTCTTGTGTGAAGACAATAGTTGCCCGATTTCGTGAATCAGTGTGCAATGCAATGACAGGTAACTCCCTATGGACACACTATGACATCAGTATCTGTATACGACTTGTGATAACAAACTAATGTACAACTGTGTACAAAGATAAATCACCGGATGTGAAGAATATTGTGGTGGAAACTATATACAAGTGCACTGGTTGTACTGAGCGTTAGACACTGCTGTAAGGCACAGTAGTATTAGGGAAAGTTTAGAAAATGTAAAAAACAATTGTCTATTATTTTCCATTTATATTACATGACTACAAATTACACAATGTAAGTTGGATGAAATATGTATATGCATTCACTGATATATTTACCGTAATATTATTATGGCCGTAACTATATAAATTACACTCAGGAACTCCTTAGCATCACTTGTCAATGATACGGAATGATCATTAACTTCTTGTCTGTTTCTTGTTTAACGCCGCACTCAGCAGTATTCCAACTGTGTGACTGTTGCCTGTAAACAATCGAGTGTGGACAAGATACCCCCAGTGTAATGTGATAAACATCCCTCCACATCGTCATGGTACGATGACATGCAGTCAACCACGTGACCGAGTCAGACCTGTTGTGTCTTACGACCCCCATAGGTTGCGGGGACCCAGTCCCAGCCCTGAATCCCCATGGGGCATTCCATCACGGATAATAGCGTACACAAGTCGGACATACACTGTACAACAGGTATTTGACAGACGTATCGAAACTATAAACACATGGGGACATACATGAAGCCCTTACCTACATGGTGCTTTGGTGTGGCGTGTTGTATGTACAAAGTGAACGACTTTACCCCACACGGTAAACCAGGTAACTATCGAGAAGGGACGAGGATGGTTGTTAGCATTGCTACAGATGTCCACCGGTCTGTATTAAGAAACACTTACATTTTTAAGGTATTAGGTATTTTTATAATGAAAAGTAGTAAGGGATCGCTCTGCATTCTTTGGCAAATTAACACTTTAATAAATCAAGATATGGAGAACCCCTCATCATAATTTTGCACAAAACTGTAAGTTTTAGTATTCAACGTTTCAAAATATATCAACCACGTACAAACTCAGCGTTCATCTGTAAAAAAATGTATATTTTCCTTTGTGTGCTTAGTGTGCTTAGGTGTTTTCTATATTATCGATAGAAAAACGTGCGTATTTACATAATATTTCCACACAGTTTACTGTACAGTCACTGTGTCATTTCAGCAGGAAAGGTTATTATGCAATAACGTTATACTTAGAAACCCGATGCGACCACTACCGTCGCTGTGAACGATGCGCGTTCTGTCGCAGGAGTGAACTTTATTCACTGGTTGTTTGTTATATAGCGCGGTGTATTTCACGATGTGACTTTAAGTCTGTGATGATTATCACTAGCTCCGCTGCACAACGACGATAAATGGAGTTAACATATGTGATTACATAGCGTCCTGTTATATGATAGTCCTTGGTACGCAGTGAACACACAACCATATTAACAGACTTTTCAATCGTTATGTTTATATCGTTTTTTATGTGCATGAAAAATATAAATATTCTCTTGTAAAAACGTTATTTTGTACTTGGTAAAAAGCCTTGAATCGAAATAATACCTTAGCCACAATACTTAGGCCTCTTGCTATCACAAAGTATATTTTTTTTTATGGAAATGCCAGCGATGTTCTATTGTTTTGTTGGAGGGTAGTACCCAGGGGGATAACCTTGTATCTGATTGTAGGCTGGTGGGGGTGCATTGTACCCTGGGGGTGGGGCGCTGTAGGACGGGGGTGGGGGCACATAGCCTGGGTCCAAGGGTGCAGAATGGATGGGTTGTTGTTGTTGTTGGCGCATAGGTTGTGGAGGCTGGGGGTATGACATTGGTGTCTGTCCGTAGGCAGGAGGCTGATACATGGGCGGGTAGGCCTGACGAGGCTGGCCCATCATTGTTCCTGAAACGAGCAATTGGTATTGTTACGTGGTGAATATGTTTCTATTAACATTTCTACAGAAAACATGAACTCTGGACGAAGAATATACATTGGGCATATCATGTTCAGATGCATTTGCTTTAACGCCGCTTTTAACAATAGTTCCGTTATGTTACAGCTGAATGTGAGTGGAAAGCCGGAAGTGATGCACGGTTTAGAAGTTGATGAAGCCTAGATCACGGATATGGTAATGATAAGACCTAGAAAAAAACATAAGAGGGAATCGGGGATTCGAACCCGCAATCACCTTTTTCTGACACACATAAGGGAGGCAACTCTGCACAACAAATTACTGCGCCTTATGCGATTGTAAATCGTGTGCCTCCAATTCAATTGCAATTGTGTATTAAGGAGTGACGACAATGCGTCTTCAGTTCTCCAAATGGAGGGAATTCGTGAAGTGTATGGCATGATATTGCACTCCTGGGTTTCAGTTTACATTTGGCAAGTAATATGAACTACCTGATGTATGCGATACGTGTACAGTTTGCACTTGCTGGGGTGCAACTGCACCTGGCCTCATCACGCGTCCATAGTACCGCTTCCTCTTACACAAGTAGGTGATGATGATGAGGCAGAAGATGACGAAGAGGATGCCTATTACGATGCCAGCTGTGCTGCCACCGCTGAACCGAGCGTTGACAGTAGAACTGCAGCATAACGAATATATCTCACTTACACCCCGTTCATGTGGACACTGATTCGTACATGAATATTTATACACACGAAAGTTAGTTACAGTAAGCAAATGAGTCATGTATGTAACGTTGCACGAGGAGTATATTTACACGAACAAATGATGTCATGTAAAACGATATTTACATATGGGTAACTTTACATGGGGAGCAAATTTGGCCATGTCAACGGCCAGGTTTGCCTAGCGTGTAAAGTAATGGCATCTTATCCAAATATAGCTGTGTTGTGCATCATGTCTAAATATCCTGCAGGCAGAAATGATCGATTCTCTTGTTTTAAGTGGAGCAAAACATGGACGTGCACTCGACATTAATATATAATTGTGAACGCAAAGTATCTTTACTTTCACATACATGAGTAGATTTAATCCACATCCAAATATACTTATATATGTATTTCTGGCCATGTGAACAGGGTATTAGACATTGTTGAGTTGACATGTACATGAATATATATGATATTTATTCTATATGTCAATATACATTGTAGCATTCGACAACTGTGCCAGATGGTCCATTCAGTCTTTATCGATCTGAAACTGAATGTGTTGTAAAATGTTACATGTACACTATTATTATTGGCACATCACAACTTGTCACAGATGAAGTCATTGCATGCCATCGTATAGATTAACATATAGCCCCCGAAATAAAGGTATCTTATGTAAAAATCTACAAAATAAATTCCTAATGGAACCCCGAACAATACTCAATTTCAGCTGAGGCAATCAGGACTTGAGATATTAATTTATTAATGTACTCTCTTGGGCTTGGGTGACAGACTAGCCACCATACTCAAAGTGTTGTTTAGAGTAGCGATTAGCTGACATGTTTCTTTATTTAAACACACACACACACACACACACACACACACACACACACACACACACACACACACACACACACACACACACACACACACACACACACACACACACACAGAACGTGTCTCCCCTGTGTTACCTGGAGCAGCAGTATCTGGTCCTGGAGGAGCCGCAGCAGCCATAGTTGCAGGGGAAGTAGGTGGTGCTGGAGTAGTAGGTGTAGGTGGTTCTGCTGCACAGCACACTCAGCACGTCTGGAAGCAGAGTGACACAACCATCAGCCTACGCATGCCATAGTGTGACGGGGAGTGCAAGCTCATCTACTTTCATTGTACACATGAGGTTAGGTTGGGCAAGCTCTCGAGATAATGTTAGGACCTGCTGATCATGGGTTCACGACCAACATTATCCCTACATATGTTATTGTACAATCAGCACCGTGTCAGTCTCATCACCGTGATCTAAGCGGGAAAAAGCTAGCGTGGCCTAGGGGTAAAGCGTTCGCCCGGAGGAGCAGAAGGTCCGGGGTTCGACTCCCGGGCACGTCATATTAAAGACGCTACACTGTCTGGCACTCGACATTAAGGGGCTAAAAGCAAGGACTGGTCGGCTCGGAGTATACTGTGTCTGAGTAGGGTATTCATGTTAGCGACCACTATAAAATTGGCAATAGTCCGGACTAGTACAATCAGACACACACACGTGCATGCACGTCGCTCTATTAATGTAATAATCTTGGACGCCACGTTAAATCCCATTACACATTACCTCACATTTCTGAACACTATCTCATGTACAATAGAAGATTTATTAGTTTTAAATTGTAAATATCACAACGCATATTTATGCACATCGACATATCAACAATGAAAGTTTTAATTGGAACGAGGGTGCACGGGTGGCCCAGTCGTCTGAGGCGCCGCGATTCGCTGTGCAGAGTTGCGTCCCTTGGGCACGCCAGAAACCTCTGATTGTGGGTTCGAATCCCGGTTCTAGGTTTCTAGGTTTGTCAGCACCATACCCGTGCTTGTGGGTTTCACCGAAGTGGTAAACGTCTGAGACCTAAATCTGCTTCCAAAATTTTGATCAATATACAAATTGGTTTTTATTCTATTTTAAAAATATCTTAAATTCACCAACAGTTTATGCATTAATGGCGTCATCAGACAAATGGTTCCAACGCGTAATAGTGCATGGGAAAAACGATTTAGCATAATAATTTGTCCTACATCTCATATTCTGTAAAATTTGCCTATCAATCTATACCTACTGTTAGCAGAGGCATTTCGAGGTATTAGGCAAGAGAGCTATTCAGGCGTGAAGCGAATGATCATTTTATAGCAAAGAGTTTGTTTTGAGTTCTGGTAGACTGGTACGATGTAAGACTTGTACATAATCTCTAGCAATTTGCGTGAAAGGCGGTATTTGAGACCATATAGACAATTCACCATAGGATTTACTTTTCTAACAATACTATCAATATGGAAATTCCATAAGCAATCGTGTTGTGTCATTAATCCTAAGTGATTATGCATAACAACTTTATATCATTATCAATTCTTCTCATGTGAAATCAATGCTTACTGGTTGGAAATGTTTTACGCGAAAACTGTATAGTTTCCGTTACTTGTGGATTAAAAGTAACTTGCCATTTATCAGCCGTTTGAAAAATAGTATCTAGGTCATTGATAAGTACATTTGCAGTAGTATATGGATCTTCTACTATTATATATAGCTAAAAGACGAACATAGCTATCTGTACCATCACCTTTATCATTAATGTACACCAGGAATAGAAATGGTCCTAAAACTGACCCTTGAAGGAAAGCAGCCATTATAGATTTTGATCCAGATCTATTGCCCTGAATAATTACTCTCTGTTGTCTGTTTTCAAGGTAGCTGCTAAACCACATTAATAGAATTCCATCGCTACCACATGATTTCAATTTCAATAATATACCTTTATTGCACACTTTATCGAAAGCCTTGCTAATTATATAACGTCACAAAAGACAGCTCTAACGTCATAACCACTATCCAAAGCATTAGTAATAAAATCATATACATGTGTTAGCTGATAAACGGTACTGTCTCCAGGTACAAATCCAGATTGTAAATTAGTCAACATATTATCATAACTGAAAAAATGAACACGTACTTAAGAACACACTTTTCGAAGACTTTCGCCAAACATCTAGAGAGAGCAACCGGTCGATAGATTGAACATCCATTAACACTCACCTTCTTATAAATTGGTATTACAAAAGCTTCCTTCCATACAAGTGGAAAATCTGAATTACTTAAGAACAGATTATAAAGTAGCGCAAGAGGGTCCGATATGGAGGTTGCAAGTAGTTTTAATAATCTATTGCTAATTCCATCTGGTCCAGCAGCTTTAGTAGTATCTATTGACATCAGAACATCTTGGACTTCCTTCCAAGTTAATTTTATATCACTTAGAGTAACATTATTATAGATAACATTGTGAGGTTGCTCTCTGTCTGGATGTAGAACTTGTGACTGTTCTATACAATAGTCAAAAAGTACATTAGCTATTGAGCCAGCTTCATTATGAAGTATACCATTGTAATATATGGAAAGTTAGTTTTCATATAATTTGTAACAAACCGCCACCAAGTTTAAGGATTGCAGTTGTTGTTTATTTATGAACAGATGAAAAACCTGTTTTTGCCTTTCTTACTGCTGTAGTAACTCGTTTCTTAGTAACCTGAACTGAATTCTCTTTTTAGCCTTTTTATTCTGGCGATTTCTCTGCCGAATAAGTCTACGGATGTTGGAAGTAATCTATGCTCCATCAGTTGATTTATTTTTACTGACTTATTCGGTATGAAAATATCACCTATATTTACAAGAGCCCTTACAATAGCATTTGCAATAACATCAAAATCTAAAGAAACAATCTTTTCGACCCAGTCTACATTAGAAATGCTTCTATTTATACTTTCAACATTGGCTAAAGCGTAGTAATATACTTTTCTTCATACGATAAAATCGGGGGAATATTTTCTTTGATCGTTACATATACAGGACAGTGATCACTGCAAATGAGATCCAGCACACCTGATTCACGTACCAAATCAACGTTAGACACCAATATCACATCAAGTAGTATAATGTACTGGATGTTTGCGTGATTCTAGTTGGTTCAGGGATGATTTGTTTAAGTCCAAAAAGGGTTTCTAGATGTCTCGTCTGTCGACAATTTGTACTCAGATAATCGATGTTATGAACAATGATAGTTGCCATGTTCAGACCAATAGCATCTCTAATAAATTGTTTAATCGCATTAACATAAGCGTCACGTTTGTCAGATCTATAAAGGTCTCCAATCAGATAAGAACTGTATTATTTTACATTTAACCTGTTCCCATATCGCCTCAAGCCCAGTTGAATGTAGCTGGTCAAGATCCTCAACACGAAGCTAATTTTTCGCATATATGGCAACACCCCCGGCTCTTGTTGTCGTATCTTTCCTAAAAGGTAAATGGTAACCTTGGAGACATGTGTCTTTCCGGTATGTAACCAGGTTTCTGTTATACAACTAATATCATACGATCATAGTTCTGTGTAAATCAAACCTATCTTATCCTTAATGCTACGCACATTTAAGTGTATTATTTTCAAATTGGCCGGATACATAGGTCCTGGGTTAGAATGAACCACAAAAAAAGTAGATAAGCTAATAAAAAGATAGAGAACCCTGAAGAATATTGGCAGAGCGTTCCAAAGAAGCGAGTAATGTATATCATACCCCGCATATGGGTATCGAGTAAAACCAATTCAAAGGCACCAACCGCCAGCTTGTACTGAATTATATCAATCGGAATCGTCAATGTTAAATATAAAGCGAATTTTTACATTACTATAAACATATATCAAGTGTTTCCCTTAAATTAATCATTCAGCCAAATTCCTGTGAAACGAATTAATTGTTATTTCATGAGCTCATGGCGTTCCACAAACTATCATATTCAAATATGTAGGACGTATATACAGTGAGTGGTCTGCCGTCATAAGTAAACATGTAGTTGGGACGCATGTCCACATACGGCGCTATGCATTATGTACAATAATAGCGGTCCCTTGATACACCGTAATGTTCACGATAGCAAAGTACACAGTAATCTACAGAATCATGTATGGTGACATTCATCAGAAGAAGAGGAATGACACCATTGGTAGACACACACATACCTGTACCCCCCCCCCCCCCCCCCCACACACACACACACACACATACCTGTAACCCCCCCCCCCCCCCCCCAAACACACACACACCTTTATTTTGTCCGATTTCTATTTAAAGCTCAGTTACTTTATAATATATATCTCAGAACAGGGAGCAGTATGTATAAGATATTCACATTTGACACGACTCCCCAAACGCTCTCTATTTTGTTTCAAAAATGAAGATGTATCAGCCTTAATCTATAACAAACACTTGGATAATCCTAAATCTACAATTGAAAGACATCTTGAATGATGGTGACAGTTTACTGACATGGAATAGGATGCATACACGAAACGACAGGTTACATACACATGCCTATGAGGAAAAATAGGGTATGTATATGTCAGTAAGAAAATAAATATATTATGTCGTATTTGTAGCATTTTGCTCTGGTACATTGACAGATCTATGCCAGTGCTGTATGTTATTTTGGGTGTAAACAATTGGCTTCTTCGAATTTGTTAACACAACGTCCTCACGGTGTAAAACCACACCATGTAACATTCCTACACATAATACGCATCACCAACAATGCAAGAATCATGTATAACTGACCTCATTCTAACGACTGTGTGGTGACAGTGCGATATTGATCGACACATCCACCATTTTCGTAGAGGAAGTGTTGCAATGAAACTGAAGCATTTTGTCACTATCCTGATACTTTTGTCAGACGCATTTTGAACGGATAGATTGACCAGACTTTACGTTGTAGTCAACCCTTACCTGACACGTTGAAAATTAGCAGTAGTAATTGGTATGAGATGTATTCCATGACTCAGTAGAAACTCCGTCTCCTCTTCATCCGTGGGCTTCGATTGTTCTGTGTTTGCGTGAACTGCCCGTTGCCATTGGTACAATCAATACCGGGTGAACAGCAATATTGATTGGGATGGTGTGCAAATCTGTATCGGAGTATAGTGTATAGGACTATAGGTACATGAGTTTTGAGAGTTCAGATTAGTTATTATGACATGACTGATAATGACTATTGCCGAATGCGCCACATTTTCAGCTGTGTGCATTTCACCCACTCTAGCCGGTAATTAGTTAATCAGATTACCGATACCTTTAAATGAGTGTCCCACATTTAAATTGAGTAAACTCACCCCAATTAGCTTGTAGAGATTACTGAGCGTGGTGTTCTTTAGAGATCAATGGCGGCCTTAATTGACATTGAGTTAATGCTGTTATTCATAACATATTTAAGTGACGTCCTGTTCACTCCATGTTTCACACAGGTTTCGGAGTCCATACCACACAACCAACTAAAACCACACAATCCTTCCGACTCCCAAACAACCAATCAATATTCACGGCAGAACTAATGGGCATGGCCTCAGCCCTCCATAATCAAGAATCCAAAAACCACAAAAAAATCCTAATACTTACCGACTCCCTAAGTGGACTGCAAGCCCTCCAAAACAAAAATACCAAAAACCGACCTAAATTAATAAATCAAATACTTAAAAGCTCCAACGACCTAACTAAGGCAGGCAAACAAATAACCTTCTTGTGGATACCCGCCCACGTAGGAATATACGGTAATGAAAACGCCGATAAAGCAGCTAAACTATCCCTCAAAATCCCAGAAATAAGCTTAAACTTACCCATCTCAAAATCAGAAATTAAAAGTGTAAACAAGCAAAAACTCACCAAAAAATGGCATAACCTATATCTAAACTCAAATAGCCAAATCAAAAAAGTGCTCAGCAAACCACTAACCAAACCAAAAATTCTCCATCCATCCAAAAAAATCGACAGAGTAATCACTAAACTCCAAACAGGACACACCAACCTAAATAACCACCTAAAAAAATGTAAAAAACACACTACAGGTAACTGCCCACACTGCAAACAACCAGAAACCCCAGAACACGCACTCATCCACTGCACACACTACCTAACACATCGAACCGCATTACAAACCACCCTCAATCTAAACAAGGCTCTAACTCTAGAAGCAATACTAAACCCACAAAATAAACTAGAAAACTTCAAGGCCTTAGGCGTATTCTTAATCAAAACGGAACTAATAAAACGCATCTAAAAACACAATAACTCACCAAATCAAAATCACATAAACAAACAAACATCCACCATACCCAGCTCCCTTAGTTCTCCTCCCCAATCCCATCGGCATCTATTCCAAATCTCAAAATTCCCAAATTCTATATAAGCAACCCCTAAAACCCCCCTCTTGGGTTGCACAGACCACCTTCGCCCCTTTCGGAAACACATTAAATGGCCTGGCCGGGCCCGTGTGCGAAATACGCATCAGTCGGAAAGCGCACGTTAAATCTCCAAAGTAAGTAAGTAAGTAAGCACTCCATGTCAGAACCATGGCAAATGCACAAATTCAAATTAAGTTCATTGAAAGTGGCAGAGGAGGCGTCATTTTGTCCTATGGTGGCTTTAAGTTTCGGTGTAAGAGCAGTCGTGGTGAAAGAAGATACTGGTCCTGTATTGCCAAGGAGTGCACTGCAAGGGTCACAACTCTGGGTGAGTTGCTCCACGCCATTGAGATCATGGGTCACTCCCACGACCCACTACCATTCGAGTTTGAGGTTGATGCCTAGAGTTTGCCCCACTTACAATTCAGTTGGGCTTTGAACGTACAGCTCACAATGCCGTGACCTGTCATGATATCCATCAATGTAATGTTTTGATGAATATATTATCCCTGTTATGATCTGAATAAAAAATGAGAAAACAAGACTTGTTTTGTTTGATACGTTTACCTGTTAGAATCACAAAGCATGTTTTGACAGCATAGCCACGAGAGCCATATTCCGCAATCTCGCAACCGCAACCATTGCCCCGCGAGCCACATCAATTTTGGCTATCTATTTTCGAAATGTGGCTTAGGCGGCCTGTAATTGTGCCTTTGTTATGTTGAGACCTACGAACTACGAGACATTATCAGTTATCTTTCCCTAGTGAATGATATTGTAATTATATAAGTCCAAAGTCATGGCGAGGAATTTCAAACACTAATTCATGAGGACAGATACTCCGTTATTCCGAAGTGAGTACGTAATTAGTTATTTTACCCATATCCTTTTGTCAGAAACATGTGTCTTTGCCACTGCACTGTGGGTAAAAGTCCCTTTCTGTACCTTCCCTAGCTGATGTAGTCCTTTAATGACTAAGGTGAGTGGTTTATCAAGGATGTGAAGCAAAACGCCGTGGAGAAGCTAACGTAACTGTTTGTGATATGTGTTGGATCGACTCCGTGAAAGGATGACAGCCTTCCTATTTGTGGATGTTGTGTTTAAACGATGTATATAAGATAGCTACGCGATAAATCGCAAAGAACAATGAAGAACGAAGCGTGGTTTAGTTCACGATAAAACGTTGTTCTATCACGACGTCATTTCTTGAGATTCGAACATGCGCTCGCAACTTGCTGACGTTGTAAATTGGACGACGATATTTTTAGGGGGAAGTGCCTTGTGAGTTGTTCCCCATAAATGTAGCCTGGAAAAGAAATAAACGACACGTAATAGTTGTTTATCGTACACCATATCACTGCAGGAAGACTGAGCCACAATATAAACCACAATATAACACTGCAGAAAGAATAAACCACAATATAACACTGCAGAAAGAATAAACCACAATATAACACTGCAGAAAGAATAAACCACAATATAACACTACAGGAAGAATAAACTGCAATATAAACCACAATATAACACTGCAGAAAGAATAAACCAAAATATAACACTGTAGGTAGAATAAACTGCAATATAAACCACAATATAACACTGCAGAAAGAATAAACCACAAGATAACACTGCAGAAAGAATAAACCACAATATAACACTGCTGAAAGAATAAACCACAATATAACACTGCAGAAAGAATAAACCAAAATATAACACTGTAGGAAGAATAAACTGTAATGTAAACCAAAATATAACACTGCAGAAAGAATAAACCAAAATATAACACTGTAGGAAGAATAAACTGCAATTTAAACCACAATATAACACTGCAGAAAGAATAAACAACAATATAACACTGTAGGAAGAATAAACTGCAATATAACACTGCAGAAAGAATAAACCAAAATATAACACTGTAGGAAGAATAAACTGCAATATAAACCACAATATAACACTGCAGAAAGAATAAACCAAAATATAACACTGTAGGAAGAATAAACTGCAATATAAACCACAATGTAACACTGCAGAAAGAATAAACCAAAATATAACACTTCAGAAAGAATAAACCAAAATATAACACTGTAGGAAGAATAAACTGCAATATAAACCACAATATAACACTGCAGAAAGAATAAACCAAAATATAAATCACAATATAATACTGCAGGAATGATAAACCACAATATTCACCACAATATAACACTACAGGAAGAATAAACTGCAATATAAATCACATTATAACACTGTAGGAAGAATAAACCAAAATATAAATCACAATATAACACTGCAGGAAGGATATACCACAATATAAATCACAATATAACACTACAGGAAGAATAAACTACAATATAAATCACAATATAACACTTCAGGAAGAATAAACTACAATATAAATCACAATATAACACTGCAGGAAGGATATACCACAATATAAATCACAATATAACACTACAGGAAGAATAAACTACAATATAAATCACAATATAACACTTCAGGAAGAATAAACTACAATATAAATCACAATATAACACTGCAGGAAGGATAAACCACAAAACAAATCACAATATAACACTACAGGAATATTTAACCACAATAAAAACCACAATATAACACCGCAGGAAGAATAAACCACGAGGGGCTACGATTTAACCGAATACTGTTAAAGGCGGGGTTTAAAACACTCCATCCACTCATTCATATCTATAGATTGTTGACAAATACCACTTGGCCTAAAACGAGACCGTATTTATTGTTGCCCTTTCTCCAAGATTCAGATGACATCCTGGCTATAGTGGCTATAGTGAAGATAAAGGTTGAGTGTGTACAGTTGGGGAACTTGAGGGGTGGCGAGAGGGTGTGTGCGGCGTGTGATTGAAGGGGGTAGGAGCAGATAGAAGAAATGGCATAATGGAAAAAAATGAAAGTGGTTTAGGTGAGTGAAAAGAGTGCGGGATATGGTTAGGGGAAAGCGGTGGGGAGTAGGATGCATGTGTTTATTACCCATATGGGAACGGAGATGCGGGTTAGCATTAGAAGTTATAGCAGTCACTTAATGCCGGTTGACCGTTGTCGAAATCCTTAAATTTCACTGGCTAATGACGCATTGCCGGAACTGCCTTTTTACACTATTATGCTTTTAATCTTATCCACAAACACATCTCCGCCATACGAGACTTAAAATTTTCAACATAAAGCGTTCAAAAAACGATAATTTGTATTAATCCGAATATAATATTGTCTACACATGTTGTTTACGATAATGGAATAAAGGAACATTAAAACTAATTAAGTACATTACATTTGATTGAATAAATAGTCTGTTGTGACTCAATTTAAGCGACACTGATGACAGTATTGTCCCCGATAATATTAAACGATCTGGACGGAAAGTTGGAAGAATGAACACAATTCAAACATTGAACAATGTTAACGCCTTTGAGGTGACAACAGACAAAGTCCCTCGTTCTAGACCACCTGACCTCTGAAACTGTGACTTCCTGGTCTGCCAAAATCAATCAATCAGTTTTTGGATGATTTGATGGATGATGATATCTTGACTGTATGTCCCGAAAAGCATCCATAATATAAGGTTAAAAAACAAGCAGAAAGTTTTCTTCATGTACATGATGGAGACATTGACGATTTGTTTGGAAAAAAAATGTTAATGCAAACACAATAGAAATACCTATGCTCAACATACGAGTTGTAAAAACGTTTCTTTCAGAAAAAATGAATGTACAACTCCCAACTGAAGTTATCCTTCCCACTGAACTTAACATGTAAGGGTTTCATTGACGTTAGGAAACATGGTCCCGAGTACAAGCTTCAGGGGCAGTTTCGTCCGTCACCTAAAACGCAAAGATTATGACGTCTCACTTTTCGATTCAATCAAATTTCCAAAATGAGCGATGTCAACAAGCAAAACACAAAATCACTGAACAAACTGGGAATGGCTAACCTACATTAAAGAGCGAAGCTATTTCCAACAGTGAAATAAAAAAACAAACAGATGCAGGTCAGCTTGTCACTGACACCCCCGAATTAACATCAATACAATTTTGGAAATATGGACATGTGTCGTTGTGATGGGGTGAAGGAGAGCAAGTACGAGTAATTAGTAAGTGTGTGGGTGCAGTAATGGACCTAACTACACTGTACAAAAACGTGTTTCTATCCTAAACACAAACCTAAATGCATACGTGTTATGCAAGTGCCTATGAATTTGATTTGGCACATCTAGTTGCAATGGACATTATACTTATTCTTTTCCATATATGACTTAATGCCCTAAAATATGCACTATATTCAAGCACGTTTAAACGATAAACATGTTACATTTTGGTGAGATTACGGTCTATCGCGTTTTTGGGGTGAGCGGGTGGGTAGACGGACGTAGAGTGTGATGTGGGGATGCGAGTTTGAAGTACGGGAATAGTTAGATGAGATAAGAATCTATCGCGTTGTTGGGGTGAGCGGGTGGGTAGACGGACGTAGAGTGTGATGTGGGGATGCGAGTTTGAAGTAAGGGAATAGTTAGATGAGATAAGAATCTATCGCGTTGTTGGGGTGAGCGGGTGGGTAGACGGACGTAGAGTGTGATGTGGGGATGCGAGTTTGAAGTACGGGAATAGTTAGATGAGATAAGAATCTATCGCGTTGTTGGGGTGAGCGGGTGGGTAGACGGACGTAGAGTGTGATGTGGGGATGCAAGTTTGAAGTACGGGAATAGTTAGATGAGATAAGAATCTATCGCGTTGTTGGGGTGAGCGGGTGGGTAGACGGACGTAGAGTGTGATGTGGGGATGCGAGTTTGAAGTACGGGAATAGTTAGATGAGATAAGAATCTATCGCGTTGTTGGGGTGAGCGGGTGGGTAGACGGACGTAGAGTGTGATGTGGGGATGCGAGTTTGAAGTAAGGGAATAGTTAGATGAGATAAGAATCTATCGCGTTGTTGGGGTGAGCGGGTGGGTAGACGGACGTAGAGTGTGATGTGGGGATGCGAGTTTGAAGTACGGGAATAGTTAGATGAGATAAGAATCTATCGCGTTGTTGGGGTGAGCGGGTGGGTAGACGGACGTAGAGTATGGTGCGATGGTGAGAGTTGGAGTAAGGGAATAGTTAAAAGAGATGAGGATGTGTCATCGGGGGGTAAGGAATATGGAAGTGGAGTAAAAAATTGTAGGGGAGGGTAGGGTATGATAATGGATGCTAGAGCAGCTGAAAGGTTAATACGTATTGAGAAGTTATCAAGGTGACATGTCATAGAGGCGACCAGAAGGGTAACAGTAAAAAAGAGTGGACAAGGGATGTCACGTTATCTCTACAGTGTCGATGAATTATGCATGATTTGCAAATTTACAATACATATTTTACATGCAGAGCAGCAACCAC